CCAGTTTTACCACCAGGTGGCTCATTCAGGTCATGGCGGCTATACTTGGAAGTTCCCTTTAACTTAAATATTCATCTGTTTTAGTGGTTCAATTTTCATATCACTCTTCTAATAGTTTTGCAAATTAAAATATGTCCAGTAAAATAAGATGTTATTCGACTTATACAACAAAAAATATTTCACTTTTTGTGATCTTATAACATGGAGTCTATTGGGAATCTCCCCTAACAAGAAGTCACATTTTCGAAAAACATTAAATTTTCAAAGTTGATCAAGAATTTTTGAAACATCATTATGACATCACTTTCGACTGAATTTTGAATATTTAATGATGTAAAAATCAAGATTACTTCTACTCGCATCTAGTCTATTGATTTAGAAATCTTGAAATGAAAACTCCTGGTATATCAGGTCATTACTTAGGATCTTAGTGTGCCAAGTTTTTTTGTATTCCATAACAAGACATAAGACACGGGCCATATATGGAATTTAGTGCACAATTGAACTGTTTTTGTATTTAGTAAGAAGAAATACCATATTTGAAAAGTGCATGACACTGAATTAATTTTGCATTCAGTATTCAACAAGACATGCCATATATGGAATATAGTGCACAAAATTGAACTGTTTTTGTATTTAGTAAGAATACCATATTTGAAAAGTGCACTATATTGAATTAATTTTGTATTCAGTATTCAACAAGACGGAATATATCATGCGGTACTAACTCAGCGGGGCGTATCGAAACCCAAAACACCTCGCAAAACCGTTAATTTGAATTTCAAACCTACCCTTTCTTTGGAAAATCAATGATTGTGAGTCTCACAGTACACCGTTTTTCTTCAAACTTGTTCCATTAAAACCTTCACAGATATACCTTTCACTCGAGACATTGTATTTGAGTACAGAGTCACTCGTTTTAGCGGCGTTTTGGTCCCCAGATGTGAGAAGATGCAAATCTTCAGAGATTTCAACCAAAAGCCTCGATATATCGCCATTTCTTTTATTATTCTCCCCTATATTTTGCACAAGGACTCCCATTACAACCCTCCATCATTGCATTAACATATTTATTACATTAAACGCAGCAATTTGCAAAAGTCCTATGCATCTGTTCGAAATTGATCAAAACGCCCCGTTCTCTTCCAAAATGCCCCGTTGGATCTATACACCTTATCTGATACTGACTGGACTGCGGGGCGTTTTGGAAGACAACGGGGCGTTTTGGTCAATTTCGAACAGTTGCGTCGAATTTTTCAAAATTGCTGCGGATGTTGTTGCAGCCATGGAGGGTTGTAACAGGAGTCCTTGCGCAGAATATGGGGGAGAGTGATAGAAGAACTGGCGAGATATAAAGAATTATGGTTGAAATCTCTGAGGATATGCAACCTCTCACATCTGGGGACCAAAACGCCGCTAAGACGAGGGACTTTGTAAACAAAAACAATGGCGTTTTGGTTTCGATACACCCCAGTGAGTTAGGACTGCGTGTATATGCAATATACGGAATATAGTGCACAAAATTGAACTGTTTTTTGAAAGCCACTTTAGAGGATGTTTAATTAATAGTTTTCATTGTATCCATTATAGGATTTCACTGCATTTGAAAATGCTGTAGAAGAAGAGACTTTACTTGAATTTTTAAAGTTGGCCTAAGGTAGGAATTGTAATGAAAGAGAAAAACAAACCATTTTATGTCACAGATGTTTTGAGCCTCAGTGCATGGCAACTATGGACATTTATTCCTTAAAGCACTTAATAAAGAATCAGATAAGACATGTAAGAAACACAGTTTCAGAATTATATCTCATACCTATTTTTGGCAAGCCTTAAAAGTTAACATTAAACATTTATGATTGCATCATTTTTTATTTCAGAACTCATGGCTGAGGGATCCATATTCTTCAAGGTGCATGGACTATAATTAATTTATGGAATAAGCTCTCACTTTCCAAATATGGTCATGATATTCAACGATGCACAAGATCTGTAATTACACATACATGTTCTAGTTGTACACTTTTGGTAGTAAAATACAAACAAAAATATCAAACAGTTACATTTTTTAATTTTTATTTCATTTTTTACAAATAATTTAGGATTTTTTACAGTTCCCATCTTTTCTGATGAAAACTTAACCACATCAAATTTTGAGTGGCTCATAATGACCTGTTTTGGTCAGTCCTATTACACATAGCCTATCAATACAGAACCCAGTATAATACATGTGATATACATAATTAATGTGAAAAATGCTCTAAAGCAACCCCTTAATTGGTTGTCATGGAAACCATGTGATGTCACAATAGAGTAGCGGAACATGTATCTGACTGTTCCCTCTGCCATTCAGTTCATCCTGCTTAGGATATATTTCACTGATATGTTTATGCTTTTTGGTCAAAATCAAAAATCTTCATGAATGGAAAACACAATTGGTACTAAACAAATAAAATTATAGAAATATTTCATTCAGTTGAGGTGAATGACTGCATCTTTCACAAGGAATATTCTCAGAAGCCTACATGGCTAGGTGACATTTTTAAAGCACTTCTGTTTCTTAAAATGCTTACATTTTTAATTCAAATGAAATTAAAAAGAATTCTGACTTCAATAACTTTTATATTTAACCAGGTTCTTTTTTTCAGAAATAAGATTAGAATTGCAAGAGAAAAATTGGCATGCTTTTTAGGATTGCTTTTTTCATTCTACACTCAATTCTTTCTCTTTGTTGCCACTTTAATACTGGAAATACCCAAATAAGTGAATAATATACTAGATATAATACATTTCATGAATATCATCAAATGTTTGAAATGAATTTACAACACTGATTCTAGCTGGTTCTAACTAACTACATGTACAGAATATGCTGTATATATCACCAATTTGGCATCATAAGATTATGAATACAGTTCAATTTACATCAAAATTCAATGTTCTCCCAGCATCTTTCGTCAAGTGGATACAAAATTCACAAATAGGCACAAATTGGTTGTTCAGTCGGTGCTAGCTGATTATTCCAATAATGGGTACTAGCTGCCTATTTCAATAATGGGTGCTGCACCCACTTGTAAAAATGCTTGAGAACATTGAGCAATTTAACACCTGATTTGGGCCTACAAATCAAATTTGTTCTAGACTTGAAAATATTTACATAAAATCTTGTTTTAACCTTGTGGGTATATTACGCACACTTGCAATGTTTCATCTAATTGTGCCATTCAATAAAAATCTAACCTATGGAATTGTTTGTTTTGTTGTAAAAAACATATTTTAGATATCTTCGGAAGACTCTGAAATATGTGTATGTGTATAAAAATAGTTTTTGGCAATTAATTTTGAATAAGAAGCATACAGTATTGGAACACATTTTAGTGATATAAATTGTATATAATATTGTTTTTTGATTCCATTCAATGCACACAATTGTACTAATTAATAATTCAGCATTCATAAAATAAATGGATTTGGAATATATTTTACTCACAATATTTCTAAATGACATAGCTATGCAAACGAACTAAGTGCCAGCTGTGCATGACACTAAGTGCCAATTGAACACCAATATTGAAAATTATAGAAACATTCACACTCAAACACACTCTCAGCCCAAAACAATTTGCACATCTCAAGTTAATATTGCTGATACTCATTTTGGATTATATCAATAAGTACAAGTAAAAATTTAATAAAACCTTTTTAAAAAATCGTTTACTGGTACATTGTGTAAGTCTACTAACTAGACTAGATATAAGGAATGAGGTACGAAGCAATTTGATTGGACGTTTTGTAGGTTCATGGCAAAGTTTTGATCTCGATGAGTTTTTTGATTCAAGCCATCAATCTTTTTATCATCCTATCATAATGGAATAACCAACACAATTAAACCTTTTACTCCAATTTGAATTGTTTTACAAACATTCATACTATACTGAATACATGTTTGTGGATAAAAGCGCAACCATTTTATATGCATTTGCCCATTTTGGAGTATATTATCTAATCTACTTCCTAATTTTAGAAAAAATGGTGGAAAAATATGAACATTGAGAGTGTCATATCTCCAGATTCAAACTTCATTTTATATATATTCTCTCTGCACCATAGTATGAACATGTATATGTATATACAGTACTCTCTCTGCACCATGGTATGAACATATATATGTATATACTCTCTCTGCACCATGGTTTGTACACGTATATGTATATATACTCTCTCGGCACCATGGTATGATCACATATATGTATATACTCTCTCGGCACCATGGTATGAACACGTATATGTATATACTCTCTCGGCACCATGGTATGAACACGTATATGTATATACTCTCTCTGCAACATGGTATCAACATATATATGTATATACTCTCTCTGCAACATGGTATGAATATGTGTATGTACGAGTATATACTCTCTCTGCACCATAGTATGAACATGTATGTGTATATACTCTCTCTGCACCATGGTATGAACATGAATATGTATATACTCTCTCTGCACCATGGTATGAACATGAATATGTATATACTCTCTCTGCACCATGGTAAGGCATGGATGTGCACTCAAATGACATCAAAATTAATTTTATCCAGCTTTGTTCACATTTACAGAGTGAATTTCTCCCTTATTTAATGAAAAGTAACTTTCTTACTCTACATGTACAGTCTAAACAATGAAATATTTCTGGACAATATGTCCATACCCGCTCACACACTCTGAGGCATCTTTTTTTCAACCTGCTCATGTGTCAAGGTCATATAACCACATTGACGCGATGATTTATACAATAATCAAGAACTTCAAAACTCATCACCATTTGTTAACAAGATCAAAATAAATACATCAAGTTGTGCATCTATAAAATGTGTCATGTTCTTTGGTTATATTTAAGCTTATACATTCCATATCATGTTATCAGTTACTTTAAATATGTCTCATTCAAGAGTCCCCATTTTACAGTAATACAGTATATCTAATATAGGTAAATGGCTGAACTCAATCATGTACGTATTGTGAAACACTTCAATAGAACATATGTCATGTTAAAAATTCATATTTTTCTCTCTGTTGAAATCATCCTAAAAATTCGTTTGACAACATGATCAAAGATGAATGAAAAATTGAGCACATATTTTGATTGTTTCAAAAAAGAAGTCAAATCTGAGATTTCTATGAAAATAATAATGCAATTTTATAAAAAATAATATCTAAAAAGGGCTTTACATCTGATAAGTCTGTGTTTGCCATGGCTTATATTCTAAACAAAGTCATACTCCACTTTGTTTATCCTTGCAATATGAACATTAACATTGTTTTGTTTAAACGGTCTGCTACATTACTACTCGTACTTTATATATTTACATGTTCTCTGCCTTGCTTTAAGAATACAATGCTATACATTGCATCAATGAATACAATGACCCTGAATTTACTAGCATTATGGCATGTATTTTAAAACCTTGACATCCATTGCAAACTGTCCTTGACTGGAAATATAATTCATAAGTGGCCATATGAGAATGTTTAAACTGTCAAACCCATCTTTATCAAAATCTTTGTTTCATATTAACCATTTCTTAAGGTTTTCTTAATAAAATTCCATGCTTTCTTCCATTTTAAGGAAGGATTCAATAACATGTTTATGAAAATTCCTATATTGCCACTTTAAACATATTTGATTTGTGGTGAATAACTAGTATAGGGTATTACTTTGTAACTTGTTCATGTTATATTATTCTTTATCCATATTGGATCCTGATACTACTGGAGACATATTGGTCCTCCTTACCAAACTCAAACATCAGAGTAATGCACCATTCAAAAGTTTGCGTGAGACCCCCACACACGGGCATGGGTGGGGAATTTGACAACAAATTTTTTAGCCTGTCTAATTCTTTACCAAATAAATGTGTCAATTTCCCTACCCTGGGAGCAATGAATCTGGTCAAATATTTGCGACCCCCGGGTCCTTCCACCATTTGAAATCTATTTTTAAACATCAGATTTCCTTGTTTTAGACCGATGCTCGTGAATGTTGAGGGATACACGTGCAGTACTTTGTTTATGTCAATATTTTAATTAGAGACACCATATATGGTCATACGATTCTTCGCGGAAAGTCCACTACACATACTACAATTAATTTATGAATGAAAAGTTAGCTTGCCTTCTACATTATAACCAATAGAGAAGCAGTTTTTTAAATGACGCAATAACCAGCGAAATTAAAAGCCAATGAGAATTCAGTCCATTTTATAACGTTTTCGCAAACTGCCTGAAAGTTTTGACAAAAATGAGCCGAGAGGGACATGGTTTTACCCTTGTTTTGTATGTGTTAAACAAAAGTGTAGAACATACCTGTATGAACGATCATTTTTTGTGGAATGGGCGGGCGGATTGTTGCGTTTGATGGGTACAAATAGGGAACAAATCCACATCGTAGTAATTTTCGAAAGGTCTCTTGCAATTTATGCATTGACGTATTCTAAGGTAATGGCTTTTTACTTTAATAGGTTACCTCCCTCCATTTTATTCATCTATATCAAACAAAATTAAATAAAAATTTGTTCAAACGTAAAATTTTTAAAAAATTAATTTTAAATCAAATAAATCATCTATATTAAATCAATTAAATTATGACGAGTTTATATATATAAGTAGAACGACGAAGTGCATTATTCCGAAGGGAGGGCGAAAACAAGCTTGACAAGCCAATAATTAAGACACTGCTCAGTATTCAAGAATTCCTCTCTCTCCAGCGGTTATTCACGGCAATTCCACCCCTGAAACTACCCAACGTGTAGATAAGTTATTTTCTTCTGTTCCCGATATGAGCGATCTTTAGTTCACTGAATTTACCGATCATTTGCAAATTCCGAGAATCCTCAAGTGTATACTGGATGAAACAGATTCAGTCAAAAGTCCCCATTCCCGGGCATATGTAAATCAAATTCCCCACCCCCGGGACGACAATCTTTGTCAAATTCCCACCCCTGGGGACAACATTGTGTATCAAATTCCTTACCCTCCCCACGTGGGGGGGTCTCACGCAAACTTTTGAATGGTGCATAAATGTAGGTCTATCTATACTATATGTGGGCCTCATTTATTACATTTGGTCATTGATTACATATGGGCCTATATTGACTATACACTGGCCTCATTCACTACATAAAGGCCTACATTTACTACATCTGGACCCTTCTTTACTAAATGAAGGCCTCAAAATAGGAACCTGGGGTTACATATACCTCAATACTAATGGGCCTACAAATACATTGTGCCTGAAGATTCTACTGCATTGGTTTTGAACAGATCAGTCAGATCTAAACTGTCATCGCAAGTCTTCCTACAGCTTCAAAAATTTAGGATAATTTCCTTCAAAAATTTAGGATAATTTCCTTCAAAAATTTAGGATAATTTCCTTCGGGAATCCAAATTTCACCATTTCGAATATGAATGTTTGCGTCATGAGTATGGCACCGCAGCTGTAGATGACCTGCTTGAGCACATAAAGGTGGCACTACTAGTCTGTTCCAAAATATTTCATCCCGAAATGATTCGGAGCTGAAGGGTGAATTTCAGAAGTCAGAATTTTGAGATCTGGGAAGGACTTGATCACTGATTTCAATCCTGAAACATAAGGATGAATTGTGTAAAATAAAAACACGAGGACAAATATGTTACAAATACTCATGTAGCCACTAGACATAACATAAAGATGATGCTGGATTTGTACTGTACTGCCTACCTTGAGGCTACCAGTACACAGAAAGATGAAATTCTCTCTTAAAGCATAGATTAAAAGTATTGCAAAGGGCTACATACCATGGGGAGTTGAGAAGAGATTTAGCACCACAATGTTCTGTTCATTAACTCCATGTTCCTCTAGTACATTTACTGCCTTCCTGATTGTATTACCAGTACCTGTAGTGGAAAAATGAAGAATAAGGGCACAAAATAAAGGCATTAGAATATTACAAGGCATTAACATGTAGGCATTAGAATATTATGAGGCATTAACATGTAGGCATTAGAATATCATAAGGCATTAACATGTAGGCATGTTATTCCCCATATCAACCTGAAAGGTTAGTAACAACCTTATTATACCATGGTCATGAGCATTATTTATCTTGAAAATCCTCTGTTGGGTGAGAAAATGACCGAAAATGATGAATGAATCTTGGAAATATTAATGTTACATAAGAATATTCCAAGGCAATGAAATGTCAAAATATTACAACCTGGTTGCAATTTGGTACAGATGTCAATGCCGATGTCCTGGTTTATATAAATATTTCCTTGAGATTTTGGAAAAATGTTATGCATATATGTACTGAATTGCTTCTGAATGAATACAACAGAACATTCAGCATTGTAATACATGTAACATGCAATAACAATACGCAGGGTATAACCATGGACTTTCAATAGAAGGGTATGACATTCTGTGTTATAAGCATGAGAACTTTGAAATGAGCAATGACATACTTCCCTTTTCTATCATATTTTCAAAGAGTACTCAAAAATATGAATGTCGTAGTATTACCTTGAAAAAATATGATTGAATGATTTTTAAAGCATAAAATATCTCATTTAAAACAAAAATTACCAATAAGATGAAGTAGTCGCAAAATTTTTTCCTCCAGTGTTGCATTGTGGGTAATTGAAATCTCAAAGGCAATGCTCATGTATGGAAAATTGCATATCCTTCTCTTGAAAGCCCATGGTATAACTTACTCATGATTGGATACATAAGGAGAACCTTCCGCTTTTGTATATCTGCTGGAAGTTTTGCATAGAACACTTTCGCCTCATGAGTGTCCTCATCTGATTGGATAAGAATCTTGCCAATTCGTATGGATCGGCAGCAGTCCCGCAGACCCTGTTCCATAGCTTCACCTACAAATATAATACATAATTGTAGTTACCATGCTATATGCTCACACGTGTAGATATCCTATCCATTACTGGATAAAATCATATCATTCATAAATTATTAGATATCCTCTTTATACCATATATGGGCTTCATTTTATGAGGGATTACCTACAATGTGTAGCTACACATGTCTTCCATAAAGCATACACTGATTGAAGCCAGAAGTCAATGCATCATAAAAGATGCATTTTCACAAAAAGAAAATTATACAAACAACTTTTTGCATTTTTCATCATTATGTCCAGTTATGTAAAGAAAATGTTACACACAACATTTGAAGGTCTTCTTGTTTAATTGTCTTTCTAAATGGCAATAAAATCCAGGGAAGGGCAACACAATACAATTGTTAAGACACTCCATGTAAAGTATTTTGAGATTGAAAACATTTTTAATTTGGAATTCTTAAATACAACAATTAATTTTTCCTTGCCTGTATATGAAAGTAACAAGAATGGAAATAAAACACAATGAAAAATTTTCAAAAATTAGTATTGGCTTACCACTTCTCATTATGCTGACGCCACAGTTGCCTCGCTCATATTTCAGACCTTCATATTTGTACCCTGCAATACAATTTAGTTTATGCATTAAGTGTCTTAATCTTTGCCAAAACATGATCAAAACAGAAAAACATGGAGTTTTACTCTGTCCCCTATAATGCATTCTAGGTGATTAGGTATTTAATCAGGGAGAAAAGATTTAGGTGCAACATTCGACACAGTATCTTTGACATTTCTACTTAACATGAAATCCTATTCTCATCAGTTAACATTCTAGTGTAGCTTTTTTAAGATCCTAAAGATCCAATTTTAGTGATCACCTGTAAAAGAATGCCACTGATACAAAAATATAGTCCTAAAAATGAAATAAAATGAAATAATATTGTTGCAGTTTTAGTACATGTACAGTCATGTTGAATACAGTTCTATTGATTATTTGCCTTAAACCATCATCTATCAAGAGATGAATTGTCATAATATCATACACTGAAGTGCTATCATGATAAATATGCTATGGAAACATATATTACATGTATTAACACTACACAAATTGTAAAGAATTATTGATATAAAATACAATATTCAAACATGACAAATCTCAATTCAGATTGTAATAAAAAAATACATTGTTGGGATGTTAAAATTATCAATGTGTTTAATATCAGTGATTTCCCTATACTACCATTTTTAGCAACTGGAAACTGCACCAGTTGAAAATGTATTGTTTTGTTTACATTTGTATTTCTACACCATGACTTTATAGAAAATGTTTTGTGTAAAATTTGCACGTAATACCTGTTGGTGTTTCGACCACACACTTCTGGTATGGCAGTTGATTAAGCCCCTCTTCCACAATAAGTCGGATCTATAATACAAAGTACAGTTTTATATACACATGGTTTCAAATTTTTGCTTTAATCCTATATTGATGAAAAAATAAATGAAAACTCATTTTGGACATTTAAACATGAAAATAGTGAAAGCAAACTTAGCTGGGAATATTAGGATAAAAATTCATACATAATCATAAAAGTTGTTCTTTTTAATTTTACATATTAAACAGTTTAGCAGTTTAAAATGCAATTCGTCAGTTGATACCTTTTTATATTTTCATTTTTGCTATAGACTAAACTGAAATTTTGTCAAAGATGCACCCAGTGCTAAAAGATGCTAGAGAGTGCTACATATAACAATGCAACTTTCTTTGGTACAACAGGGTAGGATTTCAAGAACAACTTACTAGTCTGTCTGCGAAGAATATGAAGTCACTTCTGCTAGTTGTTCTGAAAATAAACATGAAATCTGATAGCATTGTTTAAAACAATAAGCTGTTTCAAGTATTAGCAATGCATTTCCTTTCTCAATGTGTATCACGATGCCAGTTAGACATCTTTGGTTTGATAAATGTTTCTTTATATCTAAATAATCATGAAAAGTCAATGAAAGTGCCACATGAAATTTTAACTCATACATCATGTTCTGACATATAGTGAAAGCATGAACTAAAACCATGAGGTTCACTAAATCAATGTTATATTCAACTAACTTGAACTAAAGCTATAACAAGTCAACTTTATCTCAAATGTGTTTTGTTCGAATACTGATAGTCAAACTTCCCATTTCTCACAGTTCATTATATATATTTCTAAGACGTAATAATACATGTTGAATTAATACTTGTATTCAGTTTCAAGTAGTTCTTGAGATGTATGTTCTTTGTATATTCTTATGCCTATTTGAAGATTCTGGCCAATCCTAAATATTATTGAGGGATGCAAGGAGGATTGGCTCCCAGAGTGCACCACCGATATTCTGTCCCATATATGGGTATGTCGTAATACAAAATTCGAATTCAAACAGCCGCCATTTTGTTCACTTCAACATTTAAATCGTGAATTTTGGTCTTATTTCCAAACGAAAAATTCCAAAACTCACAAGAAATGATCGAGATATTGGTTCGAATCTTTTGAACTGTTTATTTTGAATTTATAGTCGGTTTTAATTTCAGAAAATAACGACATTTCGACGTTTTCATTGTTGGAAAATATCGAGTTTCGATCCTGGGAGCCAATCCTCCTTGTGAGGGATGATAAGTCACAATCGGTGTGTGATCAATCGCGAGTAAAGAGAGGAATCTGGAGGGGGTAGGGTTAGTTGGAGGGGGGTGTGATGAATACTGCATCGTTAACTTTCTGATGAACATTTATTGATGATGTCAGAACAGTTGCTTTAAGATACTATTGATTTGGTAGAGGATCTGAGAATATTTGCATGCTCATTGCTCAGTCTTCATTAGTGAACAAAGTTGTACTTGCTAGGGGCCTAAACTTTAATTGTCCACAGTGGAACTGTTGGATATGTAATCTAAAATTGTTTCATGAAACCAACAAAAGAACTTATAATTTTTTGACAAAAAATCACTTAATTCTTCTATTCATGAAAGTTTTATGTGAATTGCTTTTATAAAACTTATTTACAGAAATTGGGTCCCCAGGGAGTTTAATTATGAACCAGTTTTTTACAATTTAGAATAAAACTTCACATATTATTTTTAAAAAACAAACTTTTCTTGCCCTATGAGAAAATCACATGTTGTATTCAGTAAAACCATGGGCTTTCAACTAGATGAAAAATATAAAAACCCATCTAATAAATTTGAAAGACTCGTCAACAAGATAGATGATGATACTTTCGGGATAAGCAAGGGTGATGTTGTTGATCAAACAAATAATTGTGGTGTAAACTAAAAAATTATGAAAAAATGTGAAACAATAATCATGCAATAAAAGGCATTGATTAGGTCAAACCATTTTGGCAATTCAAATTCTCAGAATAAACGAGATTTAACCAGTGACGTCAGTCTATTTGTAAACAAATAACCTGTGAAACACGCGGAGCAACATTACAGAAGCGCTAGCGCTATTTATAAACTCAATTTGTGCGGGAATTTGTGTCTCTGTGAATCATATTAAGATTCTCACTATTCAGTGTTGACTGTTAGTCATTTATTATTAGTATCCTGATTGAATTTTGTCATTTATAGTAAATAGAGTGGGAATATTCATAAAGAAAGCCTAGCTAATCAAGAGGTCATGTGTTTGAAGTTAAAAGTTCAAAAATTTGCAAATCTTGTTTGGATCTCCTGAACTCTAATGTCCTTGACATTGCTTGCGCGACCTAATCATTAAACACATCCTGAAATTTTGGTGAGTCTGAACATTTCATTATTTTAAATCAACTTGTACCCAAAATATTTTTGCTTCTAGTTTAAGATGAACATCTCTTCAACATATTCACCAATTTTCAAGGTGAACATCCTTGTAATAAACAAGAAATTTATGTGCACAAAATATTGTCGAGATTTCCATGCGAAGAATATCATATCAATCATAACAGACCGAATTTTATATGCGGTCTGTTGGATACATACTAGGAGAGTGGTGTCTGGGACTTGACTGATAATATATAGCTTTTTGTGCTGCATCAATCTTTTGAAATGCTCCCTTACTATACTAAAAATAAGATTTTTTGTTTATGTTGCAATTTCAAATGGCGACCCACAATCAGATCGAATCCAAATACAGTCATTCACACAATTTGAAAAAACAGAGAGCTGAATATTGTATATAGATTTTCAAAACTCTCTTCAATGAATGTGGAATTAGTCTACTACTACTTTTTTCAAGGCCTGACTTCGTCGCTAAGATGCTAAATATAAGAGTTAGCTGACGTTTGGGAGTCTGACTTACCTTCTAAAGGTTAGAACCCGAATCTTAATGAAACCATATCACCTTTGTTCCGTCGATGATGATGCATAAACATAGCATTTGATAGAAATTAGTGTAAATGCTTTTCCGACTTTTTCATTTTTCATCAATGTTGACCTCCGGGAAGGCGTTGTAGTTATCACGAAATAACGCATTGACCCTTGAACTTTACTTTGTTGACGTGTCAACCAAGCATGTCTGGTGTGAAAATTAAAAGAATATTAAGCAATGTTCTACATCCGCCAAGCTACGTGAAGTAGTCAATATTTAAAATTACCAATTTCAAGTGAAGTACGCAACGAACGAAACTGTGTGATCTACACTCCCACTATTGGTCTGAATGAAATGCTACGTAGAAATATGAGCCGTCTGCTGTATTAGTCGATTAATAGAGTAAGACCTGTTGGTGATGCTTTATAATTTAGACCAAAACATTGAAGAACAAACGAACCTGTAAATCGTGAAAACAACGAACAAATATTCGGTTTTCACATATGTTCGGTAATTTTTCGTATTGAAACTTCCGGAACTTACAAGGAAATCATTCATTTTCTCGGTCCATGATTTACCTCTTGGATGTTGTGGCAAATGCTCCATGGTTGACGGAACAAAGGTGATATGGTTTCATTAAGATTCGGGTTCTAACCTTTAGAAGGTAAGTCAGACTCCCAAACGTCAGCTAACTCTTATATTTAGCATCTTAGCGACGAAGTCAGGCCTTGAAAAAAGTAGTAGGCCTAGTATTTCTTATCTACACAAGTAGCCTTATGAATGAAAAATTCTTTGTTGACAAAAAATGATTTTCCAGACTGAAAAAGTTTATCAGTCTTACTTGTCACGCAGAACTGTCTGAAGCTCTTTTATTTGATCAGTTGTTCGTAGACGAATCAGGTTCGGACCATAATCGTATTTTTCATGGTTTTCTGGAATCAAATCTGGCTCCATTTGTGAAAAGAGTGAAGAATTTTCAGAATCTTGCAGAACACGTTCTCTAGATTACCTGCAACTCAATCTAAAATTATGTATCAATCCGCCAAACATGTATGAATATATCAAAAATAGTCCATCTTTTATTAATATTTTCATTGATCTATTTCAAGATATGTAACACGAAATTTTATAAAAATATAAGCGTTGTGATATGTGATTGATTGTCAATACAATAACTAAAGTATCACCAATTTATAAAAAGTAAAAAAATAGTCCAAGGTCAGCTGTACCGGAAGTAACCTTTCATCATGGCTGCATTATTTTTATGCGGTCACTTTTGCAGGAAAACTGCAAATGCCTCGCTATTTATGAGACCAATTTTGACAAATACACATCAGAATGCTAGATTAGAAGTACAGTCATGTAATAATGTGCTGTTATTAAGTAAATTTCGATGTTCAAACCAGGTAGGATTGACCAAAATATAACAAATATTTTTCATCTTTCATTCTCTCTGCTCTTCTTTGATTCTATTTTTCTTTGGATTGGATAGACTAATTTTTGATAAATTTTTGCCAAACTCCCATGTAGTGCTAGTCAACATATCACTGCGTCGGGAAGATAGTTTATTGTAAGCATGGCAACTTCGTAAGAAACAACTGACACCATAGGCCAAGGGTAAAGTAATAGTAAGCCGTATAATGGCGTATATTTATCCCGTTCCTGGACTATAGTCCTGCACTGATCGCATTCATTTGCCTGTACGATTACAACTTGGGAGAATTATCTACGCCCCTTACACTTAAGATACCTACCTCAATGCATTATAGAACTCAAGATGTAACTTCTAATATATTGGAACCGCCGATTGTCTGGGTATATCGGCAGAACGGGAACATTTTCTCTTTTTCATCGAGAGAGATTCCATCACTTTTCAAAATGGCGGTTGGATTTAAAAGGGGAATCCCCCGTTTGGCTGTCCCGGATGTAGCCCGGAAGTACCAATATGGAGGAATTTGACGGTTGAAATAAGTTAAATGTTACACGCAAATATTGCGATCAAAAACAAAAATGTCTTCGTTCTGCCGATAAACCCAGACAATTGTGGATTCAACTACACGAAAAGAATGCTAAATTACCAAGGAATCTATTGAAGTAGGTATCTGAAGTGTAAGATCAGTAAAAAATTCTCCCATGTTGTAATCGCACAGGCAAAAGATTGAGATGTTCACAGGACCATAGTCCGGGAACGGGATAAGCGTATATCAATATAGAAGAGACAGGTGAACAACTCTGACTTAGACCACTTGTTAAGATGGAGATTTCAACAATATTCAGTGTATTCTTTTCAAAAAGCCATGGGGAGTTGATAGAAAATTGATAGTTTGTAGCTCTTACCTAAGATTGAAACTCAGTCAGATGATATAGAGTGAATAATGCTGTCTAAAAGAGAGAATTTCTGAAAACCTGCAATTGCTTGGCAAGTTCATTGGTAAACAAGTGATCTGATTGGTCACTGCTGACCTCCCTGACCTCCACCAGTGACAATCAGTTTCAGCTTGACAGGCAATTGCAGATATCCATTAATAGTTGTTGTTTTATATGCAGTATTATATGCAGTTTTTAGATAAAGATTTGAAAAAACAATGATATAAGTTTGAAAAACACTTTGAAGAAGATTTTGGAGAGATTTGGGAATACAATTTGATACCAGTAAGGAGAACTTGTGCCAAGACTAAAAAATGTGAAAAATTTTCAATCTTACTTGTGGACCTGTCTCTTCTATACACAGCTTACTATGACTTTTCCCTTGGCCTATGACTGACATGATTGGTTCTTGTCTCATGTTTGTTTCACACGATTGTAAAATCTAGACAAGCTCATTGGTTGGATTGCACTTATACTGTAACTAATAAACACATGTGGTGTGAAACATTATGAACAAAACTTTTAACTCTAAATCCTACCGCGGATATTTCTTCTTATATTTCATGATTTTCAAAACGTTTTGACAAAATAATGATTGGGCACAGGCGTAGTCAGGTGAGGTGAGGGAGCGATTGCACCCCTCCCCCTAACCAATAAAAATATAACCATGATATAGAGGAAGAAAAGAGCTTTAAAATGTAAATATGTAAATAACCTATATGTATCATGTTATACAAACAACCTTGCCATCTTTCAATGACATTGATAAAAATTTGATATATAAAGCTTGACAGATCAAAAATATTTTTTGATAATTAATCGTAAGCTTTGATGTGGTCTGTTTGAGCTGTTGTTGGTGTCAAATGAAAGATAAGGTTCTTATAAAAATTGGACATACTATGAAATTCAAATGTAAGTCTTTATTTTGCCCAAAAATGTTGAAAATATGCAAACAGGGCCTTTGACTTATATATCTGCTATAAATGGGCTTGGTAGCGTTTTGCAGATTATATACATAGGCATAGAGTTTGTCGTCACCAAATGGATGATTTTTTCTATATACGATGATCATTTCCTCTGAAGTCATTGTTTACTCAGTACTGTCCAACATTGATTCTAGATGTTTCTCTCAGTTCACTGATTGGTTTAGAAAATGTTGGCAAAGTTGGTTTAAATTGATTTATGATCCAGGCTGTGATATCCATGCACTGGTAATAGGGGTGGGGTTGATCGTCTTAGCTTTTCAGAGGTCACGTCTTTAGATCTCTGCACTTAGGGTAGGGGATTTTACACCTTTGTTACAATTCACTTGGTTTTCTTTGCAGACTCGTTTCTTCCATCAAGGGTTGCCTACAAGAATTGGCGCATCTAAGAGGATCTTCTCCAAACTAACTGTAAGTAGTACATGTATTACAATCTTTATGATAAAGGCTAGGGCAAATGAATTAAATGTTTAACATATCCTTAGCCTCAAAGTGTAAAAACAAATCTCCACATTTCTTCTCATATCAACAACCTTGGAAATCCTAAATTTGTCTGTTTTTCCATTCATTTGACTTAGCTAAAGCATTCAAGAATAAAACTGCTGGATTAACCTATTAACTTGTAATTTGCATACTGAACAATCCATTTAAGTCAACTAACAGTGAGCACATGACTTTTTGTGCAGCTGCATTGATCCATTCGAAATTAGCAAACTTGCAACTTGGAAGTAGGAGCAAGGCTGCTAAACTGTAAAATTGTATTGTCAAAGTTTTCAGATGATATTTATTAATGATATTTAAACACTAGCACTAGTAAGTAAAATAAAAGCTGTAACCATAGCAACTCTTTATTATACTTCAACATGTTGTAGTATTTTTATTATTATTGTATCTAGTGATCACTTGAAAAGCAATGATCAGATTAACTTTAAAGCCATACAGTAAGCATTCACATTTCTTGCAATGGCTATCAATGCCATGGCAATGAATTATGTGATTCAAAGTAACATTTCAAATATTAAGGTTAGTGTGTATGGTTGGAATTTTTATGCAGTCCCCTCATTGGAGTTACATGTTATTTCCAAATCTTAATTCCTCATCTCCCACATAGTTTACATCAATTCTTTCAATTTTTCAAAATGAATGCACTAATGTACCTAGAAAAGAGTAAAGAATTTTTTTTATTTTAAAATGTATGAAAAATGAGAAAATTTAGTGACTTACTTACTGTTTCTAGGTACATTAGTTCACTCTTTATGTAAAACTGAAATATGTAGATAATGTGGAGGAGGAGTTAATATTTGAAAAGTAACAAACATGACTAGATATGCAGACTAGAGCTGGCATCGAAAAGGATTTTAATGTTGACATGTCGGAGCTCTCAATCAACAACGATATCGACATTGTCGGGTCCAATGATATTCGAAAAATGAAAAAAAATTTGAAGAAAATCCGTCTGAATTTTAGATTTTCTAGGCTTGCAATTAGCAATACGATGCACAATAGTCATCCTCAGTTGTATGTTTTATATTTAACTTACAGGTAAACCATGTTCAAGTATCAGACTTTGACGAAAAAGCAATAAATAGACATAAAACTACGATTTCTGTTGTTATTTCCGGGCAGCCATTGAAAATAAATATGACCCCGAGACCTAATTCGAGAGCAGGAAGTCGATCAAAACAAAAAAGAAAATTTGAAAATGTAGGCGGTAAAACTTCACTAAAATACACCATACAGCAGGTAGTAACAAAGAATTTAATTCATAGGGAAATAGCTTATTATGTTGTGAGTTCCGACTGTCGATCAAGAGGCGTTGTGTCGACATGGGTGTTGCAGAGAGCATTCGACTGACAATCGACCATTCCGACATTTGATGCCAGCTCTAATGCAGACTGCATCAAAATGGCCAAAATCATACACTTACCTTTAAAATACACTAATATTATTATATCCATGTACAGTGTGGTGACATTTTGAGATATTAACAAGATTAGCATTTGATATTTCTCTGAGGCTCAAAGTTTGAATTGATTATACCTGTTATTGAAACTTTATCCTTCACCTTAGGTATTTCTTATCCTTTTAATATCTGCAATACCATAAATAACAGGGTTTTAGATACCTTTTTGCCATGTTGAAATGTTGAATTATAGTTTTCTTTCCATTCATTTTTAATAGATGGCAGCAAAGTCAACTATTCAGTTGTCGGACACTTGGCCCTTAACAAGAACATCACCCATGTCAATCTCCTTTTGGGCTCTTTTGTCTTCTTCTGTCATCAGCTGTAGAAAAATCAAAATAGGGTTTCATTCATTATATGGTTTTCTGGTACATGTCATGTACTAGGCTGATACAATTGAACTTGTAGTGATAGTAGTTCCCTTATAAAAAAATATTTAGTTGAGGGCAAAATGATCAAATGGCTTACCCCTTTACAGTTCATTTCAAGCATTTAAATCTCTTTATTGATCAAGATCCCTATTAATATTCACATTTTGATGTCAATGTTTACATAATTGAGCCTGGAGCATATTCAAGGGTACAAGTACAACATAGCATAACCTGTCTGTCCTGTTTGAAATTACAATTTGTTTTTCATAAAATAAACTAGCAATGACGATAATGTCAGTGCCTAAATAGTAAACATAAATATAAACACATATCTGGGACTTAATTTGAATATTTTTGATTAGATTTAGATTAGGAATAATCCAGATACGAGGAGGTTACCGGTGGCTAATTTAGGTTAGATAACATGGCAGGGTATTAGAAAGTTCCCTGAAACTTGAATATTCATCGGTTTTAGTGCTTCAATTTTCATGTTACACTAATGCATCTAATAGTTAAACAAATTAAAATTTGCCATGTAAAAGAAGATATTATCTGTCCAATAAAAGAAAAAAAGATATTTCACTTTTTGTGATTTATAACATTGGGACTATGAGGAATCTCCCCGACCTAAAAGTCACATTTCAAATATGATATCACTTTGACTGAATTTTTATTTTTTTATGATATAAATCAGTATTATTTTTACTCACATCTAGTCTTATACTGACCATGTGAGTCTCTTGAATGGTGCCGTTTTCTATTTAAAATCAAAGCTTGTGATTTCAGTTATAGATGTCAGAATTGTGACCCACAGATCACTGCTGGCAACATTTCTTAAATTGTTTAATGTTCGAATTTTTAGTGATCTTTTTAAAGCTTCTTGGACTTATTTTGTGATTTAATTATCAAAGAACCCAGATTAAGTTAAGTAAGTCTCTTGCAAAAAAATTGAAAAATATGAGACCTGTTGTTTCAGTTTCTTACTTCTTATGTTCTGTTCACACCAACTTTAATTCTCAGATTTTTTTTCCTGTCATGCAGTATGGCCACTCCTGGGGCCACTCTAACAAGACAGCCATGGAACACCCCTGTAATGAAGATCATTATTATACAACAATTTGGCATAAACTCAAAGGTTTTCATTTGTGTTGTGATGGCTAGCGATGAATCAATATTGGATCTAGTATTTAAGTCAATGCATGTTTGAAGCCATTCATTCAGCTCATGTTAACTTAGACTGTTAGAAAGGTAGTTTAAATAGTGAGACACTGAGGGACGACAATTTAACAAAAATCTGGGCAGTTATACCTGTATCTCAAATCTACTGGGATAAGCAAAAGGACTGCTTCGTGAACTCCAACAACAAAGGAAAGCTCATTTTTCCTCATCATAATCAGTCAGTTATATTTGAGATAAACACAGGCCTAGCACTATGGGATGCTATTCGCCATTGGGAGGAATAGAGTGGGGGATCATCCCAAATTTTTCAATTACCCTACAGTTTATTACGCGCTGTATCTTCATGAATGATTGGGCAACTCTTACATCAAAGAACGCTACCACTGGTTTGCTGGCACGGGAGCAAAGAATGGGAATATATTATATGTGTGACCAAATTGGAGAAGGTGAAAGAGTATGCCAGTCAACGATCAACATGGCTTTTCCTCATTCATACAAAGCAGCTGGAGCACTGGCCATTGTTTCTTGCATATTGTTGGTTCTTTGCTTTGTCGCTTTCATGGTCGGTCTTTATTCAATGCGCAAATGCCCAGACATCTTCAGCGGAAAGTACTTTGCTGTAGTAGCAATTTTTATGTGGATATCGACCTTGTGCCACATTTTGAGCTATACCATATTTGGTACCTACATCGAAACGAACTACTATCACGTGAGACCATTTTACGACTCTACACTTACACTAGGAGGGTGGTACCAGATGATGGGGGGTTCTGGAAACAGCCTGGTGGTGGCTGCCTTGTTAACTGTTGCCGCTGGGATGGTGTCAAGGCGTCAACGAGAAAATATGTGTTCGAATGGACAAACAAATCCAGCCGTTGAAATGGAAAAGCAGTAATCTCTGACAGAAACTTCAAAATTAAATACATTTGAGGTACTACGTATCCAAAGAAACATTTCTTGACTCTACAACCTATGCTGCCTAAGAACAGGAACAATTTGGTATGAACATTTCAATTCTGAAGTGAAGAAACTGATTTGTGGTTTATATATTAAAAATGGTAACAAAGGAATGATCACGATAATGAAATTTCATTTCAGTCGAGCATCTTTTGACATGCTCAAACATTTTGTGTGCTGTCTGTCCCAAAAGCATTCTGAAAGACAGATTATCATTGCTGATGTGTTTTCTTAAGATAAACCCAGGATAGATAAGGGTTATGTACTGGGAGGTTTTGGATATGTGATTTATCCAGAGGGAGATATGCATATCTATCTGAGGGACTGTAGGGACCGAAGGTAGATGTGCATATCTCACGAGGGATGAACCCAATATCCAAACCGACCGTACATAATTGCTTTATCCTATACCAAGTAGAGTTTTCCAATTTTCTTTCAAATTTTTTTTATTTTTCACATTTATTCACATTTTTCTTTTTTTCTATTTTTTTTCACATACACGTTTTTTTCAATTTTTTATTTTTTTCACATTTTTTCACATTTTTCTTTTTTTCAATTTTTTTTCAAAATTTTTTTCGAAGCGGGAAGATATGTCCTGGAGCGGGAGATATGGCGGGAGATATAGAGGTTCAGGATATGGAAACCTCAAAATCAGGATACGGGATATATCTTACCAACTTATCTCCCTAAAACTCTACTTATTTGGCATAGGATAAAAATAGGTATATGGTTAATATAAATAGCTGAGACAAAATGTGAGTTAAAGGCAATTTATTACAATGATTTATATTTCATTTTTACAGTTTCAATTGAAAAAATATCTGGAAATATTTTTCCGTAACACAAGTGCCTCACCTACCTCATATCTGGCTTACTGGCTACACCCATGTTCTTCTCAAGTGCCTCACCTACCTCATGTTTGGCTTACTGGCTTCACCCATGTTCATCTCAAGTGCCTCACCTACCTCATGTCTGGCTTACTGGCTACACCCATGTTCTTCTCAAGTGCCTCACCTACCTCATATCTGGCTTACTGGCTACACCCATGTTCTTCTCAAGTGCCTCACCTACCTCATGTCTGGCTTACTGGCTACACCCATGTTCTTCTCAAGTGCCTCACCTACCTCATGTCTGGCTTACTGGCTACACCCATGTTCCAATGTTCTTCTTTGTAAATTAGATTTCCAAGAATCTTTCCAATAGTTTGATTCTGCCTCTGTTACTCTGTTACAGTATACTGTAAATTCATCAATTACGATGCTTTGACTCCCATGGTACCTCTCCTGTGTTCTGTGTTATTATCCCTATATACTATAAGCAGCTTTCTTGGAGAAACCCCTTAGATTAAGGAAAATTGATAGATTAATTGATGTTAAATGTAAGTACATTTTGGCTTTACCCCCAGTCCCCAGTCCCCAAATCTCACATCTTCTCATGCCTCCTTTAGACATGTTAGAGCTGAGTGAAAGAAGTGATCTCAGCCTTAATTTTTAGGAACCAGGTCAATATTTTGAAGTTTCTACATAAATATCTGTATTGAATACCTTCATATTGACCCCCTCCCTTCATATTTGATTCATGATTCAAATTGAAAGTCATTTAATTTTTACCCCCCATAAATGTGAGCGCTGATTTGCGTTTTTTTTTGCTTAAAAATGCCAAAATAAGAAAAATGCAAATCAGGCTCACATTAATGGGGGTACTTTCTAGAAAATTGTAAAATTTTAACTCTTTCTCCTAGATGTATTGAACAGTATATGTATTTATCACAGGGTTCTCACCAGGAAATATTTATGTTATATTTTATCCTTTATTATTGTGTATTCAGTCAAGTTTAGACTGTGGGAACAATCAATATTTGCCAATAGCTTCTGGTGGGAGCTAAATAGACAGTGGTGCTGATGTCTAAAAGCCTAATGAGAGCCCTGCCACCGAACACCAACTGTCTGGCGAGAGTCAGTATAATTCTCAAGTCTTGCTTCTCGTATATGATCCCGGCGTCTGTTTTTGCAAATGCCATAACTTACGATTTGGTCGCAAGTCATTGTTCATCAAAAAGTAGACAATGGTTTTCTCAGAAGCGTAAGTTAGGATGGTACCGTTAACTACCCCTTGTCAGGCCCTTAGCCAGGATTTACCTGTGGGGGCGGTTTTACCAAGGGGGAGATTTTGCCAAGGGGGAGCTTTTTGACAGTTTTTGGCAAAAAATCATGCGAAAAGTACTCAGAATGGTGAAACACTGCATGATTTTGAAAGAATTTTTGCCCCCCCCTGGCTACGGGCCTGCCTGTGTATTTTTAGTAATAGTAGTTCATAGTTGTTTAGTTAGTTTTTCTATATAAGTGAAGGTTCAATTTTACTAAACATTTCATACTTAAATATAAATATGTGTACGACTTTATTTTACTCAATATTGTTCCAAATACATGTTGTACATTTAAGATAAAATTATTTTATATAACCATTGTCATAGATTATAGTTTTAGAAAAACGTTTACATTTGTAGTGTAATAAACTGAACAAATAAATAAAAATTTACATTCATATGAAATATTCATTCTTTAATTCTTATATTGTTTGGATAAAATGTCAGAATAAATTGAGTCTCAGGGGGAGAGACCTGGCTACCAACATATTTTTAAATTATAGATTCTTAGAACGCTCAATTTTATTCACAGTGATCTTCTGAGTTTTTATGCCCAGAAGTGGCATCTGAAACAAATGGCAGGTGGTGACATTTTTCATATTAATGTCTTGATTCAACATTCTGAATTCTAGTTTTAACTGTTTTGGTCAGTCTATCCCATTACACCACCATTTTGACAAGCTGCAGACAGATTTCCAACAGGGTGGTGATATTAGTTAAATTTTCAACAAGATGCAGCGTCCAGTTGGTCAAATGGTTTGGAGATCATTGGTTCAGTATTTTGTCTTCCAGTTTATATTCATATATTTATTTTTCTGAACATCTGAGTGTACACCAGTCATAAGGAAAACAAACCCCAACTATCCCAAACCATAATCAAACATGAAACGAAACAATGTCTAACACCACCCCCCCCCCTCCCGCCATTCAATAACCAATATCACAATCCAGGATCATAACACCACAAGATATACCATTCATACGGAAAAAGATTGTTTGCTAAAATGTGGTATTTGATTGGATATTGGTTAGATAAAAGAATTGTTTCTAATTAAATAAGGTCTTCAAATTTCCTCGTTCATATTTGATGTAAGCTTAATCAAAATGTTATCTAAAAGAATATGAGCTCTATTAAAATGTATTTGCTTTGCATTCATTATTTAAGCTCCATTTATTCCTAGATATTCAACCTCAGGAGTTAGTATGTAATACCTTGATAGATCAAGATGCTGGAGGACAAGTCATATAGATTAGGGATGGGGCCATATAGATAGGGAGGGGGAGGGGGGTAAACTAGAATTTTGTGCTGTTGCTCTGATATAATCTAACATGCTTTTTGGTGCTTCAAGAGTCTTAAGCTCAGAGTTTTATGAAGCAGTTTATAAATTATTTAACATGTTATTTTCGTGAACCAATGGGTCTTCATGAATTAATATGTCACAGAATTTTACTATTGAAATCTGTGCAAGTGATTGCAAAATAGAAAGATGTAAATGACATCTTGGATTTCTAACCCCATGGTAAGATATCTATTTTCCCTCAGGATATACCCCATATCCAAAACCTCCCATAACATAACACTCATTTATCATTAGCTGGATATACAGGGTGATCCAGAAGTAACGTCAAAGACATTGTAATTTCAAAAGTATTCATCAGATCTTCATGAAATTTGGTATACATGTACCCACAACATTTCTGAGTTACCATCTCAAAGATTGGAATTCAATCATTTCATTGGTTGAAATTATGGTTGCTATAGTAACCCGATATCGCGTAACCCGGGGCAAATTGAAGAGAAACCATAACGTTTTTGTGAATTTCTCTAATTTAAAAAGTCAGTAACATTTGAAAATGTTCATTGTTTGTTTTCTATGATTTCTATATTTGTTGCCATGGTAACAAATATGTAATAGTTGTGATGTCACAATAGGCATTCATAAAAAGCTTTCAATTTCTTTGAATTGCTTCCATCATCCATGACAAATACTAACATGACCAAGGACACTAACCCACCCAATTCAAGATGGCGCCAAGTCAGAGTAAAATAGAGCAAAGAACAAACATTAAGTTCTGTGTAAAGTTGGGGAAAGGTGTAAAAGAGACTATAAGACAGATAAAGGAGGCATATGGTAAAGCTGCCATTGCTGAGAGAAACATTTACAGGTGGTTTAACAAGTATTCCAGTGGATATGATGAAGTGGTAGACAAGCAGCGAGGAGGCAGGCCAGTGTCGTCATTCGATGATCAAACCATCAAAGCAATTGAAGCTGATGTTATGGACAATAGGCAAATTTCTATCAGAGAATTGGCTGAAAAACACGATCTGAGCTATGGGACTGTGCAACGGATACTGACAAAGAACTGTCTGTTAAAGAAGGTGTCTGCTAAATGGGTGCCGCATGACTTGACACAGGAGCAGAAAGACCGGCGTGTTAAGGCTTCAAGGGACTTTCTTGCAAAATATCGGAGAGATGGAGATGACTTTCTTAACAAGATCATTACGAGTGACGAATCATTGCTATCATTCTACATCCCAGAGACCACGCAACAAAGTTCATCGTGGAAACATGACAACTCCCCAACACCAACCAAGACTAAAATAGTACCAGGAATTCAACAAAAGAAACAAATGGTTGTGACATTCTTTGACATTAGAGGAATGGTGTTAACCCATTTTGTTCCCATTGGCCAGAGAATTAATGCCGTTTACATTGCAAAGGTAAGATATCATTTGTTCTAATAATACATCATACTGTGAATTTTATTTTTAAATTAAAGTATTTAAATGTTGTTCACTGTCAATATAATTATAACTCCATGGCCATGATTCAAATCCAAATCCAATCAATGAAACAACTGGTTTAACAACCATTAAACATTTGTTTTTCAGGTTCTGAAGCGTGATCTTCAACGTTCCCTGAGGAAAAAGCGTCCCGGACATCTGCAGCAGTTTATCTTGCATTGGGACAATGCCCCTACGCACACTGCAATCCTGACCAGCAACACAGTCCAAACACTTGGATTTCAACAACTTGAACATGCCCCTTATTCACCTGATCTTGCCCCCAGTGACTTTTATTTGTATGGGGAACTAAAAAGAAACCTTAGTGGAAATAATTTTCAATCCTGTGAGGAATTGAAAAATGCCGTAGTACTAGCCCTACAAGGAATGAGTTCTAATGGATTTAATTCTGTGTTCAAGGAATGGGTATCCAGACATGAGAAATGTGTTGCAAATGGTGGCAATTATGTAGAATGAACTATTATTAGTAACTGTGCAATAGTATGATTTATATTGTTGTGAAATAAAATGTTGAGGATATAACAATTTCAGATCTTGTTGATATTTTGAGATTACGCATTACACGTTAAGTAATTTGCCCCGGGTTACGCGATATCGGGTTACTATAGCAACCATAATTTCAACCAATGAAATGATTGAATTCCAATCTTTGAGATGGTAACTCAGAAATGTTGTGGGTACATGTATACCAAATTTCATGAAGATCTGATGAATACTTTTGAAATTACAACATCTTTGACGTTACTTCTGGATCACCCTGTATATATCAATTCTGATTTCTCAAAGTCCCTCTTTATTCAAAGCTTGTCTATTCAAACATGTCAAAGGGATAGACTATGGATCCCACGTGACAATGACATATATCAGTAAATATTATGTTACATGAAACCAACATTTAGCCTCACCTCTAGCACTTGTAACTCAGTGTTGTAACAATGGGATATTAGAAAACACTTATAATTAACAATCTCATGACAACTGTCTTTATTCTTAAATTCATAGTAGGTTTTTAAATTTGTTTAAATGATCTTGTTCTGAAGAACTCTCCGCTTAATCTGGAAATGTACTATTTTGTAAGAAAATCAATTTTATCTTGTTATTTTTAGCTGATCTATTGTAGTATGCCAACTTTGACATATTCAAATATTGAACACTTATTCGAACATAAGAGTACAAAATGCTGGCCTATGTTTCTTTGGGTAAGCCGTTTCTTTGTTATCACCTTAAACCTGCTTATTGGAAATTTCCAGTCATAATTCCAAATCAATTATTGCTGTATTTCGAAATACTGTCTTTCAAATACTACATAATCCAAGCATTGAAGGCATAGCAAAAATTCCATCATTTAAAGGATACTGGTGCTCAACTGGTGCTTAAAAAGTCAGTTTGTCAGTCATGATCAATGTATATTACTAATATTTTTAGTCTTCTTGGTGGTCAAGTTCTTCCAGCCTCTCTCTCTACAGAAATTTTTAGAATGCGTCATAAATACAATGTACATACTGTTAATATTCCTTCAGTCATACCTTTGTGGATCAAGATGTCATGATTATGGTGGGAAGGATATTAGTATTTCGAAATGTTGATCACTAAAATCTGTTAATTTAATAAAAACAGTCCCCGCTACAAAATGAAAGTCACCCTGTTAAAAATCTGAAAAATAAAAGTCACCCTTTTAAAAATCTGAAAAATGAAAGTCACCTTTTAAAAATCTGAAAAATGAAAGTCACCCTTGTAAAAATCAGAAAAATGAAAGTCACCCTTGTAAAAATCAGAAAAATGAAAGTCACCCTTGTAAAAATCAGAAAATGAAAGTCACCCTTTTAAAAATCAGAAAAATGAAAGTCATCCTGTTTAGAATTAGTTGCACCCTCAGTCTGTCAAAAATATGAAATATTGTGATATTTTGACTGAAACAGGGATATTTAGGATTTAGCAACCTTTTAAGAAAAACATATAGGAAGATCACTGACAACAACAACAACATAAAGCTATAATATCAATACCAGTAATAACAAAGAAATCTAAACTGCCCAATGTTTTGTAGGCCACGATTAATCTCTAAAAGCAGAAGGAATGAGGCACGATTGCTCTGAATGAAATGCTAAGGGATGGGACCATGATAACCTCTCCATTTACAGTGATGAATCAATGAATTTGTATTATAAATTGTATAAAGTGTACAATGTTATTCATGTTACCAAGGGTCAACCTGCATTTATCATACTTGCTTAGGAACACCTACACTGGTCATGTTTACCTATGACCTTATGACTTTCTGTTTATTTTCTACTTCTTAAAGACTAGTTGAAGTTAGAAGTAAGTCAGAATTACATCATCATGGAATAGATAAGTCCGAAGAAGTCAGAAAGTACTAAAAGTCAGACTAAAAGACAGATCTATTCCACACAATTTAGAAATGCAAATAATAGCACTAGTTAAGCATACCATATGTTAAATTGATGATTCATAATAATTAATATTTCGTAATTGTCCCCATTGCTGTTTCTCACAATTTCAATATTGTTGATGATATGGAAATTCCTTCTTGAGAATCAAAAGGTTATTTTCAATTGTTTACTTTGCTGAAATGAATGAATCAGTAGACAGAACTATATAATAGTAAAATAATACTAATATACTAAATAATAATTCATCTCACAAAGGTACAGTATGCATACATACATATTCATATTGTGTATTGCTTAAGGTAGGCGGAGTCAGGTAAATTCTGAAGGTAGCAAGCCAGATATATAATAGTGAATGTCTGATTTTATCAAATTACAAGGGGTGTACCAGAAGTAAGGTGATACATGCTCAAACTTTGTCTTCCATATATTCTAGTTTCTTTCTGCTTGCTAATTGGTTGAGAAAATGTCAACCCAGTTCAGGTTTGAATTAACTAATAACCCAGTCGGATGGCCTCTGACAGTCTGACAGTGGTTCAGGATTGCTAAACTGTAAAATGGTCTAACCTATTTCATTGTTATATGCCTGCCTTAACTGACCAATGTGTTATGAAGTAAGACATGGGAATTTTAGATCTACATACACTTCATTTACAAGGAAAATAAAGATATGTTTGCTTAACCATGTTATTGCCATGGTTATATTTTGATTTACATTGATTATTTCTCACCTATTCTCTCCCAGGTTGTTATTGACTTGGGGACCTAATCAAAAGTTTCAAACTGATTATCAAAAATGTGATTTTCTTGTTCAGGCTTTACATTCCTACAATCATCTCTAAAATAAACACTTTGAAATGTTAACACTTTTTCAGTCTAATTTTTGACATTTCAATTATTCTTTTCAGATAGGTTTTATATTGTACATGTTATCCCACTGAACAAAGTTTTGAGTAAGGATATAGAAGAGCCATCCATCCACCTATTTGCTAGTATCTTCATCTGTCTATGTACAAATACCAGTTGGCAGATTTACATATATTTTTGTAAATATATTCATGATATTTTGCAATTGCTATAATACAGAGAATATTCCACAGATATCACTTTTTCCACAGATTTTAAAACTTCTACCAATGTGATGTGTATTGTAATGTGGTGATTTTGTGACTTCACATTACAAATGAATGGATGCATGTGTTGTGAAATTTTTGGTTTAGTTACATATGTTGATATGGGTGAACTATGGGATAAATTAAGTACATCCCATGAATTTTTGTGATATCATTTTAATCCACACTCACTTGTCCATATATTGATATCATCTCGTGAATAAAATGAAATCACTCAAAATCATTGGATATCATACATATCCAGTGAAGACATCTCTTGAAAATGAAGATATAAGTTATTACTGTTTTATGCCGGTATATGGTCTATATGTTTAATTGTAATAATCATTGGAATATCTATGTCATTTTAGAAACAAAGACCTTTATTGAAGTCTACTAAAAAGGACTGCTTTCACCCTGTGGCCAACACTCTACCACCCAATGTTATCCCTAAGAAAGGGGGAGAGATATCCGCCTGGGCAATCGTACAAAAGATGATAGGATATGTGTGGCCGAAGGATAATATAGGATTGCGGGTCCGGGTTGTCATAGCGCTAGGGTTGCTAATCGGATCAAAGGTAAATATGAACAGTTAGCATGGGGTTTTGGGATTTCCATTGTATAAACCTAACTCAGGGCTCTTCCCACATTGAAATCTCTTCGAAAAAGTATAAAGATCCTTTAAATGTTGCACAAAAAATTAGAAAATCCTTAAACAGTTAAATGTTGCACTGGATATACAAAAAAACTAAAATATTGCACAAAAAAATTACAAAATTTGAAAATGTTGTAAAAAGACACCAAAATCCTCCCAAACAAAAACACCATGGGTAGAGCACTAAAACTGGTAAACAAGTATGAATCCAGAGGAAAAGCCACTGTTGCTAGACAACGTGATTCTGATGATTCATGTAAGACAATATTTCGATTGTTTCACATCCAATGTCTGACCAGTTTCTCTGCTATATTGATTGAGGACAAATATCCTTTGGACAAACAATTTAGGCTACTTATGGTTGTCATTTCAAGTTAATACATAGCTCACGGTGGGGGAGTTCTGTTTATATTAGTTATTTGGCACCCTTATTTTCTATATATACAGTATTGTTATTTAGCCCTTTGTTGAAATCCAATATTGTTATTAATCTGTGCCCACAAATGGACTATTACTTGCAATATTTGTCGATATCCAGAATGATTAAAATGTTGGCAATTTTTAAAAAAAACGACAAGATGCCAGATTATAAATTTGATTATAAAGAATGAACAGATGAGATCTTAAAACAAAAGCAGAGCCCAATCCCAAACAAGAATTTTGTCATCGTAGAAGAAATCCTTCATAATCCATTGGTAATCAGATTTCATCTGCTCAATTGTATTTCGAATACCAAGCCAAATATGTAAATTATATGTAATGAAAAGTATTGTTGAAAAGTATTGATATATTGGATTGTTCCTTTAAAATATAAATTGTAGTCTCCTGATATCTTTTACAAATATTGTGTATTTAAATTCTAGCTAAAATAGATGTGATTATTACCAGGAATATGGTATAGAGAAATATCCAGAATTATACGCTTACATTCTCCTCCCATCCCCCCCCACCACTACCCTTCTCAACAGTTTGATCTTTCATCTTTCAAAGAGAGCCTCATCTAACAAGTGCTAGTCTGTGTTCCTCTGGGTATATGAATATGTTAATCATATAACAGTAAAACCTGTTCATAGTGAACACCTATGGAGCCACAAAAAAGTTTTAACTTTAGGTTGGTGTTCACTACAGAGAGGGGGTTTTATACAGGAGTCAATGTAAAATGTGACTTTAAGTGATGTTCACTTAACACAGGCGTTCACTAGAGAGAGGTGTCAGTATTTACTGTACATATATTTGTTTCAGGTAATCAATGTTCAAGTGCCTTTCCTGTTCAAGTATGCAGTAGACTTTCTAAATGATTCAAACAATTGGTTGAATATAGATAATCCAGTTGGTACCATAATCACCATGGCAACAGCATTAATCTTGGGATGTAAGTATTTGTAAACAGTGCTATTGTGGTATATTTATTTCACCATGAAAAAAGTGAAGTCTAGCTACAAGCCCCTGTGACCCTCTCCCACTGCTTGACTACACCAGTATGAAAACTTCTCACAAGGGGAGGTATGTAGTGGAGAGGGGGGGGGCACAAAGGGTTGTAGCTAGACTCCAAAAGGTGGTGACATATTGTTGCTGACTTTATTTCTGGCCATTGTTTGGAGTTCAGCATCCAGTCTGCATTCAGTGTGTGTAACAAATTGTGACACTCATGTCACCATTTGCAGGTGATCAGCTGACTTGAGTTATTATTCAATGATGATGAAGTACTTTTCTACTTTAGGGTCAAAAACCACATTTTGACAACTTTCACCCCAAACCAAAATTTTCTGAAGCATCACATAAAAAATACACAAGAAAAAGGAATTTCAATTTGTTCACAAACCAATGTTTTGGGGTGCTTTAAGCTTACTGCATATCAAGAAGCTAAGTTAAATATTTGGATATAGAATTCATGCATTAAATGCCAATGGAGATGTTATAAGATAATAAGAGTGTTACGATTTTGAGCAATATGTGTCAACATGGCAATAGATTATGAGACTCCATGCACTTTTACATTGAGATGTTATGGTCAGATTGACTTGAAATTCATACAGTTAACATTCTTCTGTGTTTTGGTTACCATGGCAATGAATTAAAGTAGTGACTTAGAATTTAATGGCGCTACACTCCCTTTAGTAATGTGTGCAACCAATTGGCAACATTTTGTCATGTTAATGCTTTGTAATAACTATTATGCTATTTCAATAAATATTTTTAATAAATTTAAATCCTGTCATCTTGGATCACCAAGTCTTGAGTGAAAGCTAAATCTCTTCTTATACCTTCATTCAGAGTTTTCCATACTTTACAAATGATTCAATGGTCATGAGAATGCCAAGTCTGGTATATATAATCTGTTATAAAATACTCAGGATACTGTACATATTTCCTCACCTTGGCCAAAATATTTTACTTCATGTGCAATTACTTTTCAAAAAGGGTCAGATTCTGCCAAATGACCTGTCTTTGATTTGATTTCTGAGCTAGCGTTATCAGAACAAAATAGAACTGGTGTCCTAGAACATCTTTCTTCAAAAGACTTCATTTATGCTTGAATTATTATAAAATACTATATACCCTCGCTGCAAGGATGTCCTAGAAGCCCAGTTACGGACCTTGTTTAATTGTCAATAGTGGGAGAAGAATGAAGTGATTGATTTTGAAGTAGAAGCTAGGGCAAGTGAAGATTTCAATAAAAATTTGATTTCATAAAAAATGTTAATCTTGAACAGGAATTTAAGTAAATGGCAAATTAACATATTAGGAGGGGGGGTTAAACTGTAACTAGATTAACTCAGCTAAATAACTTTATTTTCCAATAACTGGTTAACTGGAAGGAAATATGTTCTTTCCTCAGAGAAGGTTATACTAAATATACTGCATCTTCGTTCACTCAGATTGAAACGCAGTGAAGACCGGAGCATGCAAAGATGATATAGATATACTGCAAGTTGTTCATGGTTTGGAGGGACTTAAATTATGTATGTTACTAAGTTACGGTAATCATTTCAATGTTTTTATACATTTAGATGGTCTGGCGAGAACTAGTGCCTCATTATTTCAAGAACTCCGTAATGCAGTATTCGCCAAGGTTGCTCAGAGTTCAATACGGAGGGTTGCCCGCAATGTGTTCCTTCATCTGCACAACCTTGACTTATCATTCCATCTATCCAGACAAACAGGGGCCCTGTCGAAGGCCATAGACAGAGGAACAAGGTATTTGTAGGAACAAGCTTATAATGTTTATAATGATGAGATTCTCGTTATATTCTGTTTTTTTATTACTTATTATATTCTGTTGAAACAATATTTCTTTACCTGAGTTGTATTTTTCTAATCTGAGAATCTCCATATATAAAAACAAAATATTCCATTTTACTGTATATTTAATATTTATTATACCTTCGGGGGAGGGGTTAAATGGAGAATCATTATTTATTTCATTGTTAGTTCTTCAAAGTAAAGTCTAAGCTGAATTTCAAAAGGTTCAAAATTCATTACATGTTAATTTGCTTCATCATAAAGGAGTCATAACCAAGAAGTGATAACAGATAGTTAAAGCCACTTTTTATCATGTTATGACTGGTATTTTGTGGTCAGTTTGATGATCTGCTATTCATTTACAGGTTGTGTAATTTTGTAATGTTGATAATTACATTTATTTATTTCAGAGGGATCAATTCTGTGCTGAGTGCTTTGGTATTTAATGTTGTGCCAACAGTGTTTGAAGTTTCCCTAGTAACTGCTATTCTGGTAAGTGTTCAATGATCCACCCCCCTTAGATCTAATGGTAGGTACACCTTCATAAACTCCTGAAAAGAGCAGTCATATGTGACCATCCAAATCTAATGGGATACAAATTCCACATTTTTGAAATGACTGATTTAATCTAAGTTATACAGTTATGCTCTGTTCAATGTTTTTACATTATTTAATGTGCCTATAATGTTGTCATAGAGAAACAGTCATACTCATATACTGACAAATGGCCAATGTTAAAAAATTTCACTTTTTGCTAAATGTTATGGATGTACATGTAGTTGCCTTAATTAGGCTCTAATAAAAACCGTGTATAACTAATTTTACCATATACAACTAAAGAACATGTGTGTACTAATTACTAAAATGTATTCATATCTTACAATTGCTGTACTTGAATTTGACAGATTAATGACTTACAAGTATTTAGTTACTTGTATTTTACATTGTTGATTTACTTGTTTTTCAGTATTATAAATGTGGTGGACAGTTTGCTCTAGTGTCATTAGGCTGTATCACATCCTATGCTGTTTTCACATTGGCTATCACATCCTGGAGGTAGGGTTTGCAATGGTATTTATATGTCTTTCATTTATTTGTGTACCCTCATTAAGACTAGCCAACTCCTTTTGGTACTCTTACATTCATAAACTTCTGAACTCTATAGAGCAGCAGCGCAAGTCACAGTAATTGACAAGACAAATTTAGACTAAATAAGGTGTAATGCTACCTCTATTTCCACAATTTAGTTGATAAAAGTCTGAATAAATATATTTCTTTTACAATTTGGTGATGTCCATGCACATTTAATCAAACATGATTTTCCATGCATGTAAACTAGTAGCTGTGGCCACTTGGTTTTCTTTGATTAGTCGTACCCATATCCCATACTATATAAAATTATTGCTCCTAGGCAGAGGGAAATATACCACGAGCTAATCTTTTCAGGGTATATACTAGTTTAATCATTTATGCTCGTACTGTACTTCTACTTCATTTGTACAGTACATTAATTTCCATCCTTATGTATATGTCTGTTTGAATAAACAAAAGACTAGCCTTCAATTTGGGAAAATGGTAACTATTGAGAGTTACACAAATGGATTAAAGATTAATTTTGTTTAAGATGGCTTAGATTGGAGTTCATTCAAAATAAATCGGTTTAGGCCAAGATGATTCTTTTTTTTTTCACTTGCTGCCATTTTCAAACTTGGTTATTTTATTATCTATGGAAGTGGAAATTATCAGTTATGTTTAAAAAGAACTAAACATTTCATTTCTGTAGGGCTCTCTACTATATTCCAGATTGTAGAAACATAACATAGTCATGGGCGTAGGGCTATATTTTGAGTTTGTATGCCCACTTGGGGATGTCTGATTGCATGGCCTAAGGCTGCGCATCTTGGGTTGTTCCAGAATTTTTTTTCGAAGACGTTATTTGATGCAATCTGCTTGTTTTTATCCACTTTAAATAGTCCTATTCTGATGAAACTTAACGGTTAAATATACAAATACAGAATTAACAATAAATGTGGAAACAGGATTGGTATCGATATGGAGAACTGAATTCAACAATGTTTTTCTCTTATTTTTCTCTAAACCAATCATTGAAAATATTCTGTAAAAAACACGGTATTTTATGTAATGTTGACCGATTGACAACAATTTAATGCGAAAATTATTTAGAAATATTTTATATAACTGTTTTTGTTAACATTCTTTGTTTTTTTAGTGCAATAGTTTTTGCTCCTTTCTACCAATTCTTGAGAATGAAATAAAATGTCTTTCCAAACCTTGTTGGAACAAAATAGCATATACAACATGTTTTTATACCTCTCAATATTATAGTTATACAAAGGAATTTTTGGTTGATTTTAAAAAAGTATTCAAAAAATTAAAACAAAATCCCCCCAAAATAGATAAAAATTAAGATAAACCTTTTTTTTTAAATCAACCAAAATTTCCTTTGTACAATTACAATATTGAGAGACCTAAACATTTTGTGTTTATGTCGTTTTGTTCCAATGAGGTTCGGAAAGATGTTTCATTTCACTCTGGAAACATGATACAAAGAACAAAACAAGTGTTTGATATGTTTTCTAAAAAAATATAGATGAAAGTATAAATATATTTTTCAAATTATATTGTTACCATTCAAAAGATGACCATTAAATTGACGATGTGTTAAATTTTAAGATTTTTTTATGACTCAGGTTTAACAGGTGTTTAAGAGAAATGTGTGTTCAAAAAGAGTCCCCTAGGCTTAACTGACCAGTTTAGTTTGAACATCAATTTAGAGGAGAAATATTTTTTGATATGGGTTTGATTTTGAAGAAATTAAGTTTCATTGAAAGAGTGTAGAAAAAGTCAACTTCTTGAAAAGGGTACTTTATGAAACTAATTCACCAATAAATATAGATTTCAGTATGTATGCAGCTTTTCAATATGATTCCTTCAAGTCATGAAATACGTTGATAGATCAAGATATGTAGCTTTAGGGAATCATTCATTGTGTCCAATCTTAAGTTGTTCTGAATAGTTACAAATGAGTGATTTATGAATAATGCATGTGGGTGGTTGGTCAGTTGGTCATCCAGTGCAACACTGATTATGATTACTGTGCTATTTCTCTCTCAAAGGTGTTGTAAATTATATGATACACGCCCTAGTTGCCTGAAGTGGTACATGTATTTGAGTTTATTTTGTGCTGAGTGATTGAAATTTGCATGTGCATAATGTCTAAAGTAAACATATGTCCATTCTACACTGTAAAGATGCCAAAAGTCTACTTAAAATTAGACTTTTTTGAGAGATATCTACCCGTACAATCATGACTTCCCAAACCCCTTTCATTCTGACCCTCATCATATTTTGGGGGATTTCACCAGACACACAACTGACAAGAAATGAGACTACATTGTTTTTCCTGATGCCATGATGGTGTTTTTGTTCCAAAAATAAATATTTATCAGGAATTTTGGCTAGGGGTTTGGGTTTTGACCCACCTCAAAAGTATCATATGTAACATATATCATACATTCTTCTCTGTCTATCTTACCTACACCTGTATTTTTTTTTTTTTTTTTACTTACACCTGTATGCAATATTAGATACAATGCAGATATTTACTTTGTGTTTCTATTGCACCCTTGGGTGCTATATTGTGATCAGTTTTATTGTTAACCCTGTCTGCCATCTATTTTTGATTTTTTGAGTTATAATTGACAATACCAGTAACTGACATCACATATTGGACTCCTACATAAAAGTTACTCATATTCAGTAGTCCGTACTCAATTCAAATATTTAATGTTGTAATGATTCTCATTCCATGATTGGTCAAACCAAGCTTATGTGGCATAAAGATGATTAATGAAGTTATCAAAGACGGAATAAAAATATCTTATATTGTATTTTTGTTTTAAGTGTAATACTTATTATGGTTAATAAGAGGTTAATATCATTTGTTTTGAATAAACGTTGCATTGGTATCTAATGTTAAGAATATTGAAGTTCAATGGAGAACATATGCACAAATCCTTCAAATCTTGCATATGAAGTGTGACAATATTATATATTAATTGAATGGCATCAATTTGACTTGCAGGACCAAATTCCGAGTTCAGATGAACAAAGCAGACCAGGATGCTGGTAATAAAGCCATCGACTCTCTAATCAACTATGAAACAGTCAAGGTAGTATTTCCTAAGGCTAGATTGAACTCCGAACACTCAGGTTGCAATTTTGATGAACTTTTTTTTTTCTAAATTTGTATATGTCGGTATGCTGAAAAATAAAACTGAGATGTTTCTCTGTTGGATTTGGGGCTTATGTTGCAAGTTGGAAACACTATTACGAGTTTTCAATTTACTTGCAAGAAACACGGGTGTAATTTTGATAGTACACTGTATGTCTTTCCATATTCAACAAATATGCTAACATGAGTCATATGCAGTTGTTCATTCCACATGAAACTTCCTTTTTACAAAATACCTTGGGACAGTGTCCTACTACTGACACTTGGGGAAAACCAAATTGGTTTCCTTTTGATTTAACCTTTCTACCCCTCCACACAATTGAAATTAGAAAGGTTAGTTCTTCTTTCGCTTTTCCATAAAAATTAATATTTTCCACAATTAAAATTGTCATTTACAGCCCCCCCCCACGGGCTGAATGAAATCAACTTAATTACTCAACAACTTTTTACATTGAACATCATCCCTAAATTTAATAAATCACTATGGTAACTCCAAAATGTTTTCAGTTTTTCAACAATGAGGTTTACGAGGCAAACATCTATGACAAATCTTTGGCAAAATATGAGACAGCTTCCTTGAAGACTACTACAAGTTTGGCTGCATTGAACTGGGGACAAAATGCCATCTTTACTGTAGGGATAACTACCATGATGATCTTAGCTAGCCAAGGAATTATGGCAGGTAATTCATGATACAGATCATTAAAATTATGATACAGATCATTGTCTGAATAACCTAGAGTAAATTGTGAAACACCTTTGGACCAAGGATGTCTATGTGAACACAGTCCATGCTTAAATCACAATAAGAGTTGCAGTAATATACAATCATCTCTTTGGATTCGTCTTGTTTTGGGGTTATTGCTAGTTTGAAGTGTACACTGGTATTGGCTCAATCTCTGACTGATAAATCAACAGCTTCAATAGAAGATACTTGTATTTTCAGGTACAATGACTGTAGGAGATTTAGTGATGGTAAATGGTCTACTCTTCCAGCTTTCTGTACCACTGAACTTCCTGGGCTCTGTGTATAGGGACGTACGACAATCTCTGATTGACATGCAGACAATGTTCAGTCTTTTAGAGCTTGACACTGATATCAAGGTGCAGTATAGTAAAAATTACATAAGACAATTTTTTATATTACAATGTTTAATCATTGCAACTGCAGCCGTATCATGCATTCTACATATTTATTTATTTATACATGCTGTAAAACCTGTATATCCGAACACCTGGCTAATCCAAGTGTAACGACCCTCACTCCGCGTGTTAAGTGCAAAAGGTAGTGGTAGCGTTAAAGGGTTGATGAGTGAGTGGAAGAATCGTCACATTATTACCGGGTCCGTGTTATGATTGTATATGCTCTCGAGGGTTTTACAGACATGACTGGTTGAATGGCAAAATGGCTGAATATGTCGCACTGCGACATAAAACATACACCTAACTGACAAAACAGATGATTTAGTTTAAATAAAATGATGACATAATTATGGGTTTATTTACAATGTGATTATAAAGTGAGTAAAGTAATTATGACAATAACACACATAGTGTGGAAATATATATATATGAATAAAAGTTCTGATATTGTGACACATGGATGATATATGGTGCAGCGTAACTCAATGGCAACGGGTACCCATATTCAAGGATTACGCACAAAGGTGGATCGTTATGCAACTAAGATCCCTGAAATGTGGTTACGTTAATATACATAGTATTTCCTATCAAGTACAGTACATACTTGAGTAAGATTACATAATTACCAAGAAGCTGATACTGCTATTACACATTATTGAGCTCATATTCATAAATCTTACATTAAACATATAACATACAATACTTTCATCTGGGAGAGTGTGTGACACAACTGGTGACCAAATAAACATACATAGCAATATGTATTACCATGACTTTGCAACAACCTTTGACAATGAGAACAACAACAACTGGCACCTTGGAGTGTACGACATGACGCAAAGAACCTAATTACAACCACTGACAAAATGTAAGACCGACTAGGAATATCAACGCAACATTATGTATTCACAAGCTTGGGTGAAACATACCAAATAATGACTATAACAATGACTTGTACAACATTTGATTCAACATACCAATTAGTGATAACAATGTTTACATGACTGCTCATTATGTAACATGCTAGGAAAATTAATGTCATATAACATGTGGGTGCAATCACATGACATGGATATACATGTCACGCAACAAGTGGGCGCCTGCTATGAAACATGCCGACGCGTGCTACATGACATATGGGTGCGATTACACATCATGTGGGTACATGCTATGTAACAAGTGGGTGCATGTTATGTAGTAAGTGATCAATCATGAACATGAGTGAAACTGTATACCCAAGTTGGTAGTAGTACATCACCAACTTATAATATTCCAAGACACAACATAAGGGTGGGTGCAACAACTTGTATTCCCTTTGGTAATATTGGGTGCAACAAATTGTATCTCCCTAGGGTGGCTTTGGGGAAAGCCATACATGCATACAGTATATAAATTATAGTACGACCTTAACGCAACGATACAATAAAACCGACACTCCAACCATCGATAAACAATAGAACAGTTCAAGTTCAAAACTAGTATCAGGCTAAACCATAAACCAGGGTTTCATCAGGGTTTAACTCAACACCATCATCTATCTGATACTAACTGTTGCCCAACAGTAAGACTTGAACTCTATAAGCCGACTATATACAAGCGAGACATTACGTAACATACAACTGCACAGGGTAGTTTGCAGTGTACCAAAACATGATCAATTTGGGTATTGATCATCAACAATGAGATAAACTGACATGATCAAACTGGGTATGTTGATCATCAACCATGTAAACCAAATATGGGTCAAATAATTCCAATGTGCTTTTGCATTAACAAGTCAAATCCAAATCCAAATGTAATACTTGCCAATTTGTCACACTCGATATACATAGAGTGCTTACAGCTTGAAATGAGGTGTAGGGTGTCCATCCACATGAGGTATTTGCATCAGCATATGAGTGATTGGTGGTTGGTGGTATGTAGTTCGCCATTTGACAGACGTGCTGACATTTGCAAATCATGCGGGAGGGGTGAACCTCAAACTTCAAGCCTGATTTGGGGGTCAGACTTCGTGCAGATCCTGTTGTAATCACCTCGTGTGGACGGACGACTTACTGGTGTAAATCGTGAGACAGTTTAGACACCTCGACGGTCAACAATAGCGACATATTGAGTGAAGATAGCGGAGCAAATCACGAATGATTTACTCGAAAAACATAAGATGGCTACCTGTCTTCTGCGCACGCGCAGCGCCCTACATAAATTACGAACTTATGTAAATCCACAAAAACGGCCATAACTTCGCCAATACGGGACCGATTGCAAAGTTTAAACTACCAATAGAGAGCTTAGTTTACGTATTATGTGCATATCCTACTAGATTAACGATAAAACATAGTAAACCGGGTGAAATTTAGACCAGAAAACTACGACAGTAACCTTTGACCTTGTTACGTCAAAAGTACGAACGGAACTAAGAATAGTTTGAGAATTACGCCAAAAGTACGAACGGAACTAACAATATCCACAAATCACTAGAATATGACACTTTAGTGGATAATAACGATCTAAACATGTATGTGAATATATAAACTACATTAAGTGAAACCCAACAGTGGTGAGACATCGAATTGACATTACTGAATATCAGCAAACAAGAAAGTAAATCTGTTGGGTTATCACACAAGCACCTCCAAATCTGAACACTTTTTCAGTCCCGTTTTATCCTCCCACCGATCATCATTTTAAAATGACTTTAGATGTGAACACCTCCCCATTTGAACAGTGAACAGTCAGTATAATCTGAACACTTTTAGCCAGTATCCATGGTGTTCGGATTAGACAGGTTCTATTGTTAGTACCTCAGTTGAAATACTCGATTTTGATTGGTCAACGAGCGGTGAATAATTTTAACTGTACACCGCGCAATGCATTGCCGGTGAATAATATTCCCAGCATTCCACTAAAATGACGTCATTATCAGACGATAAAATGGCCGCTGCTAGCACTAGCCGTTTCAAAAATGTTGAAGATGAGGATATTATTAGTCTCTTAGAGAGTAAAGACAGTCAAAATACGAAGAAAAATCTAAAACTTTGTACAAAGCTTTTAACGGACTTCGCCCAGGAGAGTAATTTGACTCCATTGAGTGAACTTACTGCTGATATACTGAAATACAACATGAACGTCTCGAGGGTCTGGATCCAACTTCAAGTCAACTTCAAGGGTCAGAAAAATCTAAGATATTCTTCGGACTAACAAAACAATTATAGACCTCTCCATTCGGTTTACTGTCAAAATTATATCCCTCGACTGTAAACCTCGACCTACGGTCTCGGTTTACAGTCTCGGGATACAATTTTGACAGTAAACCTCTGAAGAGGTCAATAATTGTATATTGTACTCTTCGAGATGAAATCCATTTGCTCCCAGAGAATTGATGAATTATATTTTACAGAATAAACAAGGAGCTGTAGATGTGACTTTAGACAAAAATGATGCCTCCATCAGATTTGAAGATGTTCACTTTGGCTATGAGCAAGGACGTGATATTCTCAATGGTCTCACATTTGATGTTCCTGCAGGACAGAAGATCGCCATTGTAGGAGGGAGCGGCTCAGGGTAAGGATGCTGTTGAAAAATGGCTGGAGAGTTAGAGTGGCTGTATTATTTGGTACAAAATTCCTATAAGTGTTAGCTTTTATTTGATAGTTTGTATAAATAGAATAAACCTATTAAAGCACTAGTGCCATTAACATGGTTTCTCAAGAATTTTTCACTTATTCACATTCGTATTATCAGTGCCATAATAATGTAAACTTTTCGTCTCTTGTTCTTTCAAAACTCCATTCTCATTTTGTATGTTTATTGCTCTAAACTGTCTAAACTCTTACTTATTGGACTTGCACCAATAGTCTGCCATTTTTCAATAACATCTGTTTTTGATGTTGCGTCATTATGTATCATCACCACTGGGAAGCCTCAGATATCTCATCTTCAGACATGTCAGACAGCTTATATGGTGTTGAACTGTTTTCATTTGTAGGAAATCAACCATTGTGCGTTTATTGTATCGATTCTTTGATGCTAAAGAGGGGAACGTCATCATAAGCAACCAAAACATTAAAAATGTCACTGTAGAGAGTATGAGGAGGTTTATAGGAGTTGTGCCTCAGGTTGGTTGCCATGGCAATGTTGTCTTATTATCATATCATTTGACATTTTTCTGGATCCCAGGTTTGGTTGGAAAATAATGAGGGAAATTATCATGTTTTTGCTATTATCAATACAGTTTATCTTTGAGATTTTTGGAGTAATTTAAAGAGGGATTATGTGTAGAAAAAAAGAACAAAATAGAGTCACTTTAATATGTTTGTGTATTCAATCAAACAAAACTTAATTTTATGCCAACTATTGAAAGTTATCCACATTATTTTTAGTGACTTTCAATATCGGTGTCTCTTATTGTAGGATACTGTCCTCTTTCACAACACAATCTTCTACAATATTAAGTATGGCAATTTGGATGCAACTGACGAGGAAGTGTATGACGCAGCCAAGATGGCCGACCTCCATAAATCAATCATTCGAATGCCTCATGGATACCAGACACAAGTTGGAGAGAGAGGACTAAAGCTTTCAGGTAGGTTTCTGACTGAAAAACATGAAGACTTACTCTTGAGAAATAATACAAGTTAAGTCTCAGTCACATTTGCTCTACGGTGGCTGTATGGGCCTAACCCCCCTATCACACCAAACTAGTTCTTACCCGTTCTTACCAGTCCTACGAAAACGTCGTAAAACGGGCTCAATCTGGCTGTGATCGGGAAATATGTCTGAAATAATTAGCTTCTTCGTTCTTAAACAGTCTTCAATACGTCCATCTCGTTCGCAGTTCGTTCAGGTCGGACCACGTTGGTATGCAACGTAGTAGAACGCGTCCCTTAGTCTAGAAGGTCAGCATGACCTGATTACAGAACGGTATGGTCGCCATCGAATTTTGAATCGATTCAAAATTCTAAAATCACATTCCCGTCTGAGAACGTTCATAAAGTTCGTAAATAGACCTTCGAAAGTTGCAGCTACGTTCATTCAGTTCGCACACAGTTTAAAACCAGTTTTGAAGAACGCAGTGGCAACTTGTTTGGTGTGATAGCTATATTTTTGCTAACTCGTTCATCAACAGTGTTAATACGTTCTTAATCAGTTTAAACACGTTTGCAATTAGTTCTACCTCGTTCTCAACACGTCCTCAGACAGTTCAACTCGTTGTTAAAACGTCCCTAGTAGGATTGAAGTACGACGGTTCCGTTCGTAGTACGTCCAGCTCGTCGTTAGTACGTTGTCATTCGTTCTAATTGTAGAACGTGACGACCACGAGAACATTTTGAGCATTGTCTAAGTTCTAGAGGACCTACCCGTTCGAGTACGTTCGATGAAGTTTGTAAATAGATCCCAAACGGTTCTTAGTAGGTCCAGTCCGTTCGTACACAGTTGAAGCCCGTTTTCGAGAACGTAGTGAGAACTAGTTTGGTGTGATAGTAGGGTTAGCTTCACAAAATCGATATAGAAAATCTACATCGTACTGCTTATATTTTGTGCTGCATATTTTTCCCGATTTGGGGAAGCAACTGCCACTGTATGGTTCCCAAAGATCAAATATGACTAAAGGGATTACTCTTATTGAACATTTCTTATGGTTAAAGAGAGAATCAAATCTAGCGAGCAGGCCAACAAAAAATTGTTTCAATTTTTGAATATTTCTGGCTCATGTCATGCCTTGTCATGTCTATTTTCTAAAAATCCCCAAAGTGCACACTTTATCTCTACTCAGGAAAACTAAAGATTTTTACAATAATGTATTATTTTTCTATAAGAATGGTTACCATTCTTATTATTTTGGAGAATTTAAACATTTTTCACCCATTTTTGCACTTTGAATCCATGATAACTTCAGCAATTTATAACATAGCGTGAATCTTTTGTGAGATATTGTATTTGAAATTGTAAGGAATAGATTGCTAGGTCAATTGCATAGATCCCGGCCAGATTCTTTTGTAGTAGAATCAGTAGCTCAATAATATTTCCTCAAGATGAGACACCTCAGAAAATTTCAAATTTTAAAATGACGATTCTGGAGCCATTTCTGAAAAATATGAGACAAATCATACCTCATTCGAAGGGTCTTGTTATTCTTTACCTTTTTTATCACCAATGGCCGTTATTCAAGCAATACTGCGTTGATAAGAGGCCAAAACAGTGATATTTTATCGCCGGACTCTTGTCTGTCCAAATCTGAATGTTGCTCCCGTGGTTCCAGAAATGTGACGTCATCATTACAATGATATTTGGACACACAAGAGTCCGGATTTCGTGAAAAATATTCGCCGTATTGAAAGTCAAATAACTGCATCCATAGGTTATTTACTCGAACCAAACAAGTAGAATTAGAAAGATGAAGATCTCAGCTATAAAATAAGTGCAAAATCTGTCACGGGGAAACAGGTACCATTTTGTATAAGGAACCTTTTGAAAGGTGGTCACTTTTTTTTCGAAATTTTCCAATTTAGTGTCGTATCTTCTGTATTATTCTTTGAGCCTATGATCCTACATCAAAACGATCTGGCCAATATCTGTGGTCAATTGTACACATTGCTCGTAATTTTGTCACCCCTATAGATCTGATTCTGCCTTTAAAGTATATTCTCATTAAACTTATATCTCATGCATTCTTTATTAAAGGGGGTGAAAAACAGAGGGTGTCCATAGCCCGTGCAATACTAAAGGGAGCCCCCATACTTATTTATGATGAGGCCACCTCATCTCTGGACTCAATCACTGAAGAGGTAATATACAGTTGATAAAATGTCATGTGATATTTCAACAAAACTAATGGTATAATTATGTCACAATCACAAATGGTGACATGTTGTTACAGCCTCTAACTTTTTTGTGAACGGTGGTTAGTGTTCGGTATTTGGCATTTGTAACAAATGGCTGGTGTTGACATTTTGCATGTGCAATAAAGGAAACTGTTTTTATTATATTATCACCTAGAAGTGGTTACAGCCATCATTTTTCTATGATCAACAATTGCTGTTGACATTTGTAACAAGTGGTTACAGTTTTGTAATTGTAACCAGGTCTACCAAAAATGGTAATGCCTTGTATGTCACCACCAAAAGTAGTAACAGATTGTTATGGTCTCCGTTTTTTTGTGACAGTGGGCGGTGGTTGGCGGTTGGTGGTTGGCATCTGGCATCTGTAACAAATTCTAAAAACTTCTATTCCAATAACTTAACAAATACTGTTTAGACGGACTTCAATTTTTTCAAAATCATCTACAAGTTCTCAGAAGTTCAAAGCTGACTTTAGATTTGAGATTTGACCTTCAATGACCTTCCCAAGGTAAAAAATGTCTGTTTTCAAATTGATTAAACTAATTTTCAAAATCATTACTCCAAGTTTTCAGAATTTCAAATCTGACTTTAGATTTAAGATTTCACCTTCAATGACCTTCTCGAGGTAAAAAAAGTTCAAAAAGTTCTTTTTTCAACTTGATCAATTTTTTTTCAAAATTATTTACAAGGTCTCAGAAATTCGAATCTGATGATTAGAAAATTAACCAATTTTTTTCCAAAATCATCTACAAGTTCTCAGAAGTTCAAATCTGACTAAGATTGAACATATAATATTATGATCAACTAGGTGGTGACGTTTTGTCATGTTATTGGCATGTTCTAATATTGTAAAATATGAGAAATAAAAATTGAATTGAATTGGCTGCTGTTGACATCATTCTTGAATCTTCTTTCTTTTCTTTCAGAATATCCTAAGAGATCTCAAGAACATTATGAAAAATCAAACCAGTATTGTAATTGCCCATCGTCTTTCAACAATCGTGGATGCTGATGAAATCCTCGTTCTCGATCATGGACGTGTTGCAGAGCGAGGTACACATTATGAGTTGCTAGGCAACACAGGGAGTTTATATCACACTTTATGGCGAAAACAACACCATCCCTCGTCACTGGAAGATAAAGACAATGCTAGTGATGTAACTAACAATGCAAAAGAAATTCTAGACTCTGATTATAAAACAAGTGATAGTTATGACAGTAAAACAAAAGATGGCGCATCATGACAGAAATTTCAAAATAGGGATTGATCAATTTTAATTGTGGATTGCTCATTTTGAGATTATCATGAAGTGACTTTCAGAGAGAAGTTCAACTATTTATTGTTTAGTAAAAGAGCTTTTAGTTTTGGTGCTAAAAGAAGGTTTTGAAAACCCCATAATTTATTATTCCATTATATTATTTTACCACATATTTACAAACATCTGAGGACATTTTCATGACAAGTGAAATATTTTTTCTTGTTTTGTGTATTTATACATAGCAGTGCTATCTTCAAATTATGTAGGAATAACCATAGTGGAGGTATAAATGCCATAGAATTATTGTAGTGTCTGAATAGCAATAATGGGATCATAAACACTCATTGAACCGATATTGATTTGAATCACGGGCGCCCTCTTTGTTGGTTGTCCAAAGATAATATATAATTATTACCGTTAAAGTGTTCTTATATTTATAGGTTACCATACCAGAGGTGTTTTTAAAACTATATTTTACTTTTTGAACTGCTTTATAATTATAAAATATGTAACTTCAATAAGAAAAATGCAATTTTAATTTTAATGAGAAATATAAAAATCAATTTCAATGATAATGTCATGTTTTAAAAATATATGCATATGTACTGGGTTTGAGAAATTAAATCATTATACTCCCCTTCTAGTTCATTCATACATTCATTACTGTTAAATCATTATAGATGGCATCATAATACAATTTCTCTGAATCACCAAAAACTGAAATCATCATCTGAAATTTTTTCTGCTGAAAAATGTATCTTGACTCATTTATATTGCAAGAAAATTAATGAGAGTTATTTTAGGCCGCTTATTTAAATTATAATGTATAAAATAGCATAGCATGGAATGAGCATGATCAGAATGGTTTAATGGCTTTAGTTTTACTATGGGGGACAGGTGGGCTGTTGACCTTGAGGGTCACATTTCTGGTTCCAATCTTACACTCAATTTTACAATCATCTCAAAAAGGCAAAATATCACCAAAATAGTGTATTGAAAATGTGCATTATGAACAATAGGGTTAAAATTTCTTTTCATGTTTTAAGTTTTATTATATTTTTGAAGGGTTTGTGTTGTTAATTTGAGAGGTGATTCTTGTTTGTGAGGCAGTCTTTAATTGACCTTTGATACATTTAGATAAAACATGACATGTTTATTCTGTCCTCTGCAAGTTCAATTGGGCCTAGGGGTACTCTAACTGAGTATTAATTAATTAAGCTTATAAAATATTGTTTTAATTACTTTATGAATGAATACCAAGTTGAATTTGATTCACCACCTAACATAATATCCCCAAGCTTAAAATGTTTCTCTGGGCATGTCTAATCCATGGTATTTCTCTAAAATTTGATTGAACAGTACAAATTTCTGTGATTTCTATACAATTTAAAGTGTTATCTATGTGGTTATATACTTTATACCTTGCAAATTCAACCATTACCACTGCATTTTACATTTCAAATCATACCTACTCTGTCATTTTATTACTCTGTTCTAATATCCTTAGAGGGATATATATTTTAGATTTTCATGTCTAAGCAGTCTGCTGGGTGCTTTTTGCTAATAGTTTCACTTATAAAAGTCTGTTTGATTGTAGACATTCTTCCCATTGTTTCCTTGTTAAATAATGATTTAGATTAAAATGCCTTCTGTTTATCACACTGATTTATAGCCTGCATGGTTTTGTTAAAATACAAAAAACAGAGATTTAAAAGTTTGCATTCGGGACATTTCACCAAATTATTAAGAAATTCAAAATAACACAACATTTAAATTCTAATTCCTTCCATCTTTCATAAAATTATTTTTCTTATTCTTATTTCTATCTAGAAAAAACAATTATAAGAATCATTCTTTAAATTGTATAGAAAAGCTAAAAAATGAGACCATTAAAGGAAAAGTTGAAATGAACATTTTGAAATATATGACCCGACGTATATTTTCTAGAAACAGACCCCAGCCTATTCCTTTGTTTTTTACAATTGATATTTATTTATGATCCATATTTGAGAACAGTAATCTTTCCACATTTTCCACATTGTTTCATCCACAACAAAAATGCCACCAATTATTTCCATTTACAGGTGACAAGGATCAAACTGACATCCCTTCTAAAAATCCCTATAAACCATAAGACAAAGAAGAGTGAAAACAACGGGGAATTAAGTTAACAGGCAACACTCAACATTGTAAAGATATGACCAAAAATTAGACACTTCATTCAAATTTTAGAGAGAAATTATGTAAAAATGTTTGAAAATGCATGAGTAGAAGGACGTTTAAGAAGAGTTAGCAGTGTATAGAGAATATATGGCACTAAAAGGGATCATTTTCAATCAACCAACAACACCTGAGATTCCATATGCATTGAAATCAAATTAACAATGAAAGATTTTATCATTCCACAATATGACGTTAATGAAATTGATATTGCTGTTCTTAGATTTTGCACTGGGTACACTCTGTACTTGATACATTCAGTATAGTGCTGCTGTTCTCAGATACATTTAAAATTGCTGCTCGTAGATTATGTTACTTACTGATTTTCTCATTTTACTGTTTTTAGATACATTCAGTACTGCTTTTCTCAGATACCGCTATTTTATATACATTTAGAGCTGTTGTTTCAACAATTAGTACTGCTGTTCTCGGATACTTTAAGTAGTGCTGTTTTACGCATATAGTACTGCTGTATTTTGTTAGTATTTGGAACATGGAAATATAGAGGACAGATTCTCAATTTGAGACATCATTGGACTGTGTTATGTGCATTGTGCATCCTAAGCAGGTAGCCAGAATCCATAACTCCTTGAAGATATTCTATCCAGGTCAATCTAGGAGCCCTGCAATCAGAGGATGGGGCACAGGCTAGGGCTTATGTAAGATATGGTTAAAGATATGTGATTCTGGGAATTATTTTTGGCACTTTTACAATTTATAATTCATTGAAATAAAGTAAGGTACGATATTTCAAAAATGAGCCTCGATATTACAGTTGTCAGACATAAACCTAAAAATACAATTTGTCATGAACATGTGATATATAAAAAACAACAAATTGAAATTATATGCCTTGTCAACACTTAAACACTGGAACTTTGGTTTAACAATAAAATATATGTAGGCAGAACATACCTGTTCTCAAAATCTTGTTTCAGTCAAATCTATTTTTAAAATATTTCTATTAAAATAGAGTATTTTGTGTACAACATACCATTAACACAGAAATTCAATTGTTTAGCGCCGATTTTTGCTACAAGCATGAACAAGTGTTAAGGGGTACGCCCATAATTGAAAAGAGAAAAATAAGCGAGAATTTATGTAAATAAGCAAGTAATTGCAAGTAATTGTATAGAAATGCAATAAAATCAATCCGCTGCGTAGAAATATGCGGACTACTCATAGCCAAAGGGATATTTTATGAATGGGTCACATTCAACCCCTATCTCACACACTGGCGCGCACCAACAGATTTTAATAGACAGCCTCATTGGAAGCAACTTCATAAAAATCCAATTTTTTCAAGATGAATTAATTCATTACTCAGAGATGTACATTAACTAAGGTTATAGGTCTGTGCTCTGCAATGTCTCCCCAAGCTTAAAATCGACGTCTGATCACGCTTATCCCTCGCTTTTCTCATTAAAATTTGAATGTTCCTTCTGGATTTTTACACAGCTAAGAGTGTTAACTACATGCCTGTTTATTTGATTCATTTCTATTTACACGAATTATCTTGTCGTTTGGTATTTTAAAACATGCCCGACATATCATTTTTTGGCCATAGACATATTGTACATTATCATTCATGAGATCATCTATCATTGATTATATTATAGGTATAAATAAATTCAAACAAAATCTTATTTTACTTTTGCCATTTCATATTTTTTGTAATTCTAAAAGTTTATTTGAAAACAGCTAACACCAGGAAAACAAGAACGGACTTACTTGAACCAAACGTACCATGAAACTGCTCACATGACCCAATTGTCTCAAGGAGCTGTTTACTTGAATAAATCGTCTCGAAGAACTGCTGATTGGACCCAAATGTTTCGAGGGACTGCTTTCTTGAATCAGTTGCCTCAAGGAACTGCAAACTTGAATCAATCATTTCAAGAAACTGCTTACTTGAATCAAATGCTTCAAGGAACTGAATACTTGAACCTATAGTCTGAAAGAATTGCTTACTTGAATCAATCGTCTCAAAGAATTGCTTACTTGAATCAATCGTCTCAAGGAACTGCTTACTTGAGCCAATTGTCTTAAAGAATTGCTTACTTGATCCAACTGATTCGGGGAACAGCTTACTTGAATCAGTCGTATCAAGGAACTACTTACTTGAATCAATCCTTTCAAGGAACTCTTTACCTGAACCAATTGTCCCAAGAAACTGCTGACTGGATCAAATTGTTTCGAGGCGCTACTTAGTCGAATCAATCGTCTTACGGAACTGCTCATTGGATCCAGCAGTCGTCTCAAAGGAACCGTTGACGAGCGAGTTGTCCAAAGGAACACTGACTAGGGCCAGCCGTTTGTTATGAACAAATCTCAAGGAAGTTTACTTGAAACAGTAATTGCCAAAATAAATATTTAATGATTTAATCAACTAAAAGTATTAACCGTTTGTCATAACTACTTCTAAACAGTCCTAGCATGGTTTCAGAAACTGACTTGAAACTTTGTGCAAGATTTGCTTGTTCGAATCAATTATCCCAAGGATGTATCTGCTTGAAACTGTCAAAATCCGTAATTTTGTTGTGAACCGTACTTTTAAGTTTTTAAAGGAACGATTTCTTACCGTTCATTACTTCTTATATTTTGTCGATGGTCAATTATCCCAAAGATGTATCTGCTTGAAACTGTCAAAATCCGTAATTTTGTTGTGAACCATACTTTTAAGTTTTTAAAGGAACGATTTCTTACCGTTCATTACTTCTTATCTCGATGGTCAATTATCCCAAAGATGTATCTGCTTGAAACTGTCAAAATCCGTAATTTTGTTGTGAACCGTACTTTTAAGTTTTTAAGGAACGATTTCTTGAACCGTTCATTACTTCTTATATTTTGTCGATGGTCAATTATCCCAAAGATGTATCTGCTTGAAACTGTCAAAATCCGTAATTTTGCTGTGAACCGTAGGCTTACTTTTAAGTTTTTAAAGGAACGATTTCTTACCGTTCATTACTTCTTATCTCGATGGTCAATTATCCCAAAGATGTATCTGCTTGAAACTGTCAAAATCCGTAATTTTGTTGTGAACCGTACTTTTAAGTTTTTAAGTAACGATTTCTTACCGTTCATTACTTCTTATATTTTGTCGATGGTCAGAATTATAGACATTGATTATAAATGATTTCAAGATGTGGAGAGACAAATTGAATTAGAGACACTTCAATTTGAGAAATTCAATGGAAAAACCAACCATGTAATTAATTGTGATTGGTATGTATCAATGTTGTGGTGAACAATTGATAGTTTCTAAAGCTATAGGATGTTCCACCATTTTGTCTCTTAACCGCTCTACCAAGTGGGCCATTTATAGGGGTTATAGCTCTGGGCTAGGGCCTCTGCAGGGGGTTACGTACATGAAAGTAGTCGACGACGGGGGCCCCCTTTCACGACAGAGATTTAGCCAGATATAGGAACTGTATCCATGACAATGATAAATGTAGGAAAACCACAACGTAATCTGTTCTTCTTGAGTCTATAAAAGTTGCATCCACGTCCACGGATCTATCCATGTTAATCCCGGCTTGGAATGAACAGTTAACACTTTCAATGAAAATTACCACCAAATATGTTGTGAAGTGAAGCAACTTTTAGTTGACCGATGCACTAACAACTTAAATGCAATACGCATTCGAATTCTGATACTCATAGCATCTTTTTGTTTCACCTGAAACCTCTCAGGGCTGAGAAGAAATGCGATGTCATGGTTTATCATGATGTTGCATACGGACTAAAACCATGAACCCCTGGTCGTAATACATATCGGCCCTTGATGCATACCTCATAGACACATACGAGGATTGACACTAAATCAAGCGGATTCATCATGAGATTAGCATTGAACCGTCACACATTCCCTCTTTAAAAAAGTGTCTGCACCAGATTATCTGATCCCCCGGAATCATACTAAACTTCGGGGAATAAAATCATGGAATGAATACAAAGAAATGTATTCATTAATGGCTAGTATCAGTGTTTAGCTTACTCGATTTCAAACGTTCAAACGACCGTTGATTAAATTACCTGTTACCGCCATACCTGTAGATATTTCGCAAACAATATGTTCAATCGGACATCAAGTGCAATAAACCAGTGAGAAATTCACTTTTTTGTTTCACTATGTGTAAAATTGGCTTATTTTTCCACTGCGTTAATTACTCGTAATGAAAACAGAACATGTGCTTGTCCCTTACCGTCTAACCGTATTTATAATTAGTGTTAATTACCGCGCAATTTAGTGTCTAATGCATGAGAATTTGTTATCACTTCAAACTGTTCCTTCATCGCCTACCAATAGTGACTCAATGAAGTATATTGATAAAATAAAAAATATCTTAATTTCTGATCGTGAAAGTTGAAACGCTATTGATATTGGAGATTAATACCGCAAAACCATAGTTTTTTACAAATCACGAAAATAAATCGAAAGTTGATGTTAAGTTTCGAGTGATTTTTTTGCCTGCGGAGTCGTAATTAATATACGTCAGTTGATGAGCGCCATTGGAGGCATATGTTAATTAGGGCGTGGTTTACAGCTAATTGCGCTGTCACTCATCCGATATCAATGTTGCTTTTGTAGTAAGTAGGAGGAGCTTAGAGCCTACGTAGATTGTCAGTCAACCGAGTTGCTGTTTGGCGCTTTTATTTTGCATTGCTATCACATTTAATCAAGTAACAATACTCGTATAAAACAAGCGCTGCCTGAATGTCTCGAACGCTTTTTGGGTAGTCAATCGGAACTGTGCATAAACCGCATAAGGATAAGGCAAACAAGTTCTAAAAAAATTCTTCTTCCCAAACTCAAGCTAAAGAACGTGAGAATCTTGACTCTAGTGCCGTGATCTGTCTTGCGCTAAGTTTATTACTTAAAGTAAGGGATATTGTCATCGTCATGCAACAGTAGCAATAGTTGTCACGGCAACGGATTCTGGGCACGGAGTTCAAGGGAACTTTATGGTTCTATAAACAGTGGATATTGGAGTATAACTCAATCAACGATGTACGCAACAAAACGCCGGAGACGCACCGTCAAAAGGTACGTAACATCATGTTATATTATCATTAATAAATGTTTTAATTAGCGATATGTGTGTTTGGAATATCTTAGTGATCGTCTTTGCATGATTACGTGCGATTCCAAGTTTAGTTTCGTGCTGAGACCATTAAACATGCACAAACGAAGTGACTGTCATACCTTATAAATTACTAGCAGACAGTTAGCAAATTATGTTTTAATAAAGTTTAGATTGCGTTTCTCAACTTAAGTCATGCAAACAAAATATAACATAGCCATAAAAGTAAAAGAGAAAGTATCATGATACATTGCCACGTTCAAGACGACTATTAAACAAACGGGACTAACTGTTCTTAAGCAAGTCGCCTTCCAAGAAATAAAAATAAAATGGATGAACACATTTCGGCATACTATTTATCGGAACTTCAAAATAAAAAACAAACGCCTTTCTACAAATCAGGTTTGTTCAAAATTTATATATGGTCTTATTAAAACGTTATACTTTTGAATTACAGAACTACTCAGCGTTAACATAAATTCCTAGTATTTCCCAATTTGTTAAAAATTATTTTCACAGTTGGTTTTGGACGACCCAGCTAGGTGTTTTCTTGCTCGTCATAAGTGGTCACAGTCTGTTACGCAACTTCCACAGTTTTAGCCCAAATATTTTGACAGTTTACTTTCTGGTCACAGTGTCAAATACAACTGACAATGTTCAAGGTACATGAAAAGAGAAATTAGTCATTATGTATATGTCCAATTAAGATAAATATACTCAACCGTGGGATATAACGCATACAGGTATACTGTTGAAAACAGCTTCTGTTCGCTTTTTATACTGTTACATTGTATGTCGCTATTGTTAGCGGATATCTGGTACATTTTATTGTTTTCGGATCAATTCAAAATTGTAAAAATCAATGGGTAATGCTTATGTTACACTAGTATACGGTGTAAATGGTCCAAGATGACCCGATCTTTATGATCAATTTTAAATGCTCAATTTTCATGTGTTAGGCTGTTTTTAAAGGATTATCTTAAAGGGATCTAAATTTTGTCAACTTCATCTAGCAATTAGTCCGATTCAAACTTAACCCAAAGGCCATTGTACTTTGATCGTGGTATCTCGATCTTAAAGGTATTTGTTTAAAAAGGTATTTTAATTTTTTGTTTACATACTTCGCTCAGAAGTTGCGTTTAAGCCCTCGAGAGTTAAAGTTACGTAATGATAATGGCAAAATATGCAGTGCCGGGGGGAAAATAAGATACATGAACTCTACATGTATATGTCATATAAAAGATATGTTGATTGGCCATATTATGACTGCTACAAGTATAGCCTACGTATTTGGTACCTTGTTTTCAAAAATAATAGCCTCGGAAATTGTCATCAGCTCAAGAAGAATAAAACCCCAATGTTAGTAAAGATGTTTTGTCTTTTTATGACGTTTATTACGATTCGTTATGCGAAATTAAAATCAATTATATGAATCAATCTTATTAATTTCGAAAATGAAAACGCTATGTGAAATATTTCTTATATTAACAGACACTTCAGTCCCCAAATGAAACTACCAAAGGTATTTGTATTCAAACATCTGAACCTTGCATACAAGAGTCTGGCTCCGGAACGTGAAATCTAAAGACAACCAAATCAATGAATTATTGAATGAAATCTCTATCAATGTCGTCTTAACATGGGCCAAAACAATCAAAACCGACGACTTGAGGTTTTTTCTTGTAATTGCAAATAATACACTTCGGTGAAACAATGTTACATTGCCTCGGGATAACTATTTTAACCTGTTAATTAAAATATTGAAATAAATTCAGGAGATATTTGATATTCCTTTGCACCTGTATTTTCCTGATAGCATCAAACTTGGAAGAAAACAAGCATAAAATCTGAAAATATGAGCTTTTTTCAAACTTAGTCATGTTTGAAGCCCACTGGCGTTTCATTTTGATTTTAACCTTAAATTTATTTTTGGTAAATGTATCCATGTGTGAAGTAAATGATTGCCATATTTGCATTGCGGAACTTTTAACCAAACGGATACCAGCCAAATCATATCTCATTGATATTGCATTGGTTCTATTTCACCATGTGTCACAGGTCTCGTAACCCTCGTCCGCCCCCCCCCCCAGCGTCTTGCTCTGAGGGCTGTGCCGTGTCCCGGGTGCCGTGTACATGTATAGCCCATAGTTGTGTACTTCTGATAAATAAATATCTTTCCCCATCGTCCATGAATAAGCGTTCATTAGCGCAATGTGTCGTATGGACGATGTGAGTCACTCGGCGTCGCCTAGTGCAGTAATGTGTCCCAAGTGTCTTGAGTCTCACAAATGTAGTGTGTCCGCTAGTGTCACAGAGATCATCGCGTTCACTGTTTTACATCAGCATGTGTCTTATACCTGCAGTGAAGCCATTTCTTAAACCGTCGTGTGTCCACGGTCCACCACTCCTCGTGTGTCTTGGAAGTTTTCGAGCGCCTCCCGTCTCTTTAAAAGAATTGTTATATTGGGGGCGTGTATTTGCCACCCATATAGCCATTTTACATTTGTTCTTATATTTTGATTACATCTTTAATTCAATTGTGACATTAATACAAAGAAATCATTCAATAATTGCTTCACATTTCATCAAATTCATATGTTCATTACTATTCTTCAGTTCTTTTCACCTAGCACTCTTAAATTCTATATTCATCAAGGCGATGCCTTTTATTGCGTAACAAACGCTGAAAAGTACTTAGTGGCAGATCTATTCGCGATTCGTCTACGGTGGTTCGGAACATTAAAGCCACTACTGTCCACTGGTACTAATGGAACATCCTTCAACGGTCATTTGGTATCGTAATAAAAGAGTTTGGAAAAAAGGGGGACATCAAATGCGATCGATGAATCAACAGAACAAAACAAGAAAATAAAACCTCTCGAGGAACGCATGGGTGATCATGTGCTAGCTACTCTAGGGCACTTACAGATATATGGGCCGTGGACTCATGAAATGAAGTGGAAGGCACCTACTAGTTTTGCACAGTTCATATCCATTTCAAGTATCACAATAATTTCTCGATGAAAATAAAATTTTCTAAAAGGAAAAAATGAACACTAAATCCCGGTGTAAAAGTCTTATCACGTTGTCTTAATCAAATGGAAATTGTGGCGGAATTATTTTCTTTTATGACATCATAACGGTTGCAGGTATAAAAGTTTATATACCTATACCGTCACTTTAAGTAAAACAATGCTTTTGTCCCCGGGATTTCAGGTAATGATGTCAATAAACTGGGACATTAAATCATGACTTCATCAGATCATATATGATATGAAGTATTCAACGATAATGGTAGATGCTTCAATTAATAACAATCAAGCTACACGGATTTATAGTTTTAAAAGAATGAATTGTGAATGGTGCATTCTATAAATTAATTACAGTGTTTAGATGGGGGATTCCGTTCAGTATCGAGAGTGTATTACTAGATTACACTAATAAAATAATAGCCTTCCCGAAGTCAGCCTTTGTTTTAGTAAATCAAAGTAATCGCCACTTTAAGTGTTGTAATTACTCGGAAATCTGTGATTTTTGATGATATCTGAATCATGTTTTATGTTTCCATATCATCGGAGACTTGGCATTGAGAAAAACATTGGTGTCGTAGACAATACAATTTTGCTTTATCGGACCTTGTTTGTTTGCTTGTTTTCTGTTGGGTAAAGTTGCGGATGTTATATTATTGGCCGCATCATCACGACGTGCTATATACTTCTCAAAATGAGTACAAATTTCATCAAGACTTAAAATACTGAATTTAAAAAAATGCCAGGTTTTCAACAGTTCTCTACTCTCCTTGATTGGCTTTCCATAGAAAAGTACCTTGTCATAATTTATTTATTACTTCTTTACTAAAGTATGTAGTAGGCAAAACTTGTAATTTGTGTTGTCATTTAAAGAAGAAAAGACGAACGTCCCGCACATTTTCTGCCATATTTGATTTACCACATAGTATTCCAAAGAATATCTCAGCCGATCCATAAATGAGTTCAGACGTGAAGAACCCGCCAAACATATGGTTACAATTTCATTTTCAGAAAACAATTTCATCTCAAATTACAGGAATAAATTATTGATACAATATTCTTGTATTATCGGGAAACAAAAGCTGAATCCTGTGACACAATTCATAATTTTGCAGTTTCTTATTTTAGAATGCGGATACGTGTATCCTTCTTGACATTGTCTATTTGTATTAGTAGACGGGAATTAGAAATCAACAATGCAGTGTTGAGATGGTTATAAATTGTATAGATGGACTGAAGTTGTTATCGCTCCATAAATATAGAGAAAAAACATCGAACACATGCTTGAACATTAATAAACAAACGGCTGTGACAAGATAACAACCGTGTGTTGAAACCATACAAATTGCAAATCAACATATCAAAAAGAAAACACAAGAAATGCAGTAGTTCTTTAAGGTGTTCAAGGTAGCCCAGCCTGGCTCACGCTCTCCTGATATAATTGTAGATGGTTATCTGATTCTGTTGGACATAAATCTGAAGGTCTGTCATCTCCTGGTATTACGCCTAACGTTTTGCCATTACATTAATAGTGGGCTTTTTGGTTTTAATTCATTTTTAATTACATTAAACATTGAAGTTCGCTTGTCTTCAGATTGTCGGAATTCAAAACTGAGGCTGTATGTGCTGGATGGTGAACTCCGATTGAATTGTTTTTATAAGATGCATAGTTTTCTATAAGAACGTAAATTCCTAGTTGAAATCAAGTTCTTGTAGGCTCAACAGCACAAAATAAAAAAATAAGATTGTCCTCAGTGAAGTTGCGCATTTCAAGTTTCAATTGAATTCCTAAAGAATTCAAAAGGACAATATAAAAAACCAGTTGGAGGGGAGAGATAGCGGAACTGAAAGATAGTACGTCCTTGCGCATTCCTTGAATATCCACCTGCCTCCAATGGGTAATTGAATACTCGCTCGCAGATGCGTGTAGGGGT